GTCCTTGTGTACAATTTTTCAATTTCTAAAGTTTTTTTTTGTTGTTGCAATTTTCGCTTCTTTTGTTATCTATAATACCAAAACTATGTTTAAACAAGATATTACTTTCATTCCTATTTATAAGATACTTGAAAAATTATTTTTATTAATCTTTTTATAAAACATTGTAATTATAGCAAAACTGACCAAAAAAAGACTGTTAAAATTTAAAATGACAAAATAGATATGTGAATATATGAAATGACCAAATAGGAATGAGGTATTAATATGAAATTTTGACAATTCAGTAAAAAGACTAAGATGCCCCTGATACGTATTTGGAGCCAGTTTCACTACTCCAGTAATGATAATAACAATATTTGTAATGTAAATTACAATTTTCATAATGAGAGTTACCATCTCGCTATTGCCATTTGCAATTTGTTTCTTTCAAATCCAAATAACATATATTTGGAACCAATTTCACTACCCTGGTAATGATAATGACAACATTTATAATGTGAATTACAACTTTTTTAATGAGAGTTATTATCTCACTACCATTTGTAACTCGTTTATTTCAAACCCAAGTAACATGTATTTGGAGCCGATTTCACTACTCTGGTAATGATAATAACAATGTTTATAACGTGAATTACAACTTTCGTATTAAGAGTTATCACTTGTTCATATATTCAAAGAAGTTCAGGGACATTTTAGTTTTTCTACTAAATTGTCAAAATTCTAGATTGATACCTCATGCCTATTTAGTTATTTCATATATTCGCATATTCATTTTGTCATTTCAAATTTTAAACGGTCATTTTTTTGGTTATTTTTCCATGATTATTTATTACAGTGTTTCTTCTTATTATTTAATGTTGATATAGGTTTGATTAAAAAAAAATTGATGTAAGAAAGTAGAAAGTCAATAAGTTCTCAGTTTTTTTTAGCCTACTAAAAAATCTTGGAAAAAATTTATTAAAAAAATGAAAATAGAAAAACATATTTTCGTTTCGGTTGGCGCAAAAAAATAAATAAAAATCATCCGCTGTCCATTTTCTTGGAATAGAAAGAAGCTGTGATAAGAAAAATGAAAATTAAAACAAGAAATGTTTCTTTCGTCTGGGACACTTTAACGTAAAAAATGGCCGCGGGCCATAGAGTAGGGATGAGAGGATGTTCAAGACGTAATGCGCACGTTAAAGAAAGTGACAACTGACAGGGAATTTGTGGGCCCCTTTGCCATTTTTCTTAATCAATAATAAAAGCGATAATAATGATGGCTCGGCCGCATCAGAGTTTAATCTGGTCTGGATTAGAAGCAAAAAGACGATTTGCCCTTCATTATAACATTTTGGATCATGCATCCATTTTGTTCAACCAACATTCCGCTTTTACCCTTGTCGAAGCCGTGTGGACAAATAATCCATTAAACTTTATTAATAATAGAAGGCTCCGAGGTTAAAAAAATTATAGCTTGGGAAATTTTAAGTTTAGAGTTTCACGAACGGAAATATTTTCTGTAAAACGAAATATTTTTTTATAAGTAATCTCGTTTATGTTTTTTTTAACTTTCAAATTTCAAAAAGTAAAATGAACTTGCAAGACCTTATTTAGACTTATTTGAATTTTATCCTGGACTATGCCAAGACTTACTCACATTTACTAAACCATGCCAAGGCTTGCCCTGCCTCATCTGAGTTTTGCTCGGATTGTGCCGCGAACACTTGCTTAGACTTTATTCATACTTGTCAAATCATACAAAATTTGTTTCCGACCTATAGAAACTTGCCAAACGGAAATCCACTTATTATGGGCAAGTCTGTATATGGGCGTTGGTATATATTTTAGGCACTCGAAACCTATGGAGTTAGTGAAATGTCCGTTTTTTCCTCTCATAAGAATCAGGCACCGGAGCTTTATATTGGGAGAATTACAATTAAATCTTATTAAAAAAAAAATACAAAACAAGTTCAAAAAGTTAGTGAAAAAAAAAACAGGTTCGGACCGGCCAGTTTAACCGGTAAACTGGTGAACCAGTTAGTGGACCGGTTCTGTTTGGATGCTAAACCGGAGGGATTGAACCAGCAGAGAACCAGTCAAACCAGTGTGAACCGATAATAAACGGTTTGAATAATTAGGTTGTTATTAGTCCTATTTTTCTCATGCAACTCCTAACATATCAACCCCTATAAATTTAAATGAATTCTAATGATAATTTTGGTATCAATGATTATTAATTTTAATTAATGATAAACCATAAAGATCAAAATTCTCAATATTGTTATACTTTGTTATCGTTACAATCAAATTATTGTCATATTTTCTTATATTTTGTTATTAGTGATTGTTAATATTGTTATTTTTAATTAAATTATATTATTTTAATATGATTGTTGGATCCCGAGTTGACCCCGATCCGATTAATTGACCATTGAATTACTATCTCAATAGATTTAGTATCCGGTCCGATTTTTTGTTCCTTGCTAAATGTTATCATTCTTTATTGTAAGACTTATTATTACAAACTGCTTATGTTATTATTAAGATTTTTTAGTAATTATTTATCTTTTACGAGATTTGATTACAATTCTCTTTATATTTTAGTCTTATTTCTTTAAAAGGAAAGAGAAGAGAAGAAATATGTTACCTTCAAATCTTCAAATGGTATCTGTGAGTCAACATCTAACGTTTGCATAGAATGCTGGAAGACCTATCCACATGACATCTACTCTTCCAACAACCAGCTTGTGAAGGAATTAAATGAAATAATCACCAAAAAAAGGAATTAAATGAAGATTTCAAATACTATGCCTTCTTGTTCGAATTTTACTCTGATTCACTATGCAATTGCCATTTTCTTCTTGTCTAGAGGATAAGCAAAAGTTTTTATTTTCTTTTAAGAAAAGAAAAAACAGAAGAAGAAGAAACTCAAAGCAACACAACAACAATGCATGAGAATATGAAATCAACATTATTCTTTAAACTAATTAGCAAGAACGTAACTCATAAGGTTGTTAGTTTAAATCCATCACGCATGAGTAAGAGAGCCTTGTATGTGGGTTGCGAATTGTAAGAGCAGTTTAGAAGCCTGCCATGTCCTAGTATGAAAAAATAAAACTAGAAATCCTCCAATTTTCAAACATCTGGTTGGAAAAATGACAAAAAATACTTATTAAATTTTAACAAGATAACTAGATCATACTAATTATTTTTGCAATGATTTTGACATACCAAAATTTATTAAAATTACTTATTTATCATTTTAAAATTCAATCGGTCTTTTTTTTAACCATTTTTCTTATGTAGTTCAAACTTCCAAGAGATAAAGCAGAAAGTGAATTCCTCGTAAACAAGGAAAGTTTGAGAATTTAAATCCATTAGGTCTCGGTATTATGACTAACCGTAATTATCTACACATTTCGTGTGTATATATACATATAAATAGATAAATATGAGAAATAAAGTGAACTAGGATTTTATATTTAGAATCAAAATAAAAATCAAACAAGCTCTTATATTAAGAACATGATGTACTATTTATTACAAATAATTAACCTAACAAACTTTCTTAATATACTAAAGTTAGTAAACTAACTCTTATATTAAAGATAAGTGTAGTATATTTATATATTCGTGCTGAGGCTATACATAAAATCATAGGCTGCTTCACCAAAAAGATTAATACTCTTCTACGGCGAACACGATCTATACTTTTCCTTTTAAAAATTGACGGAAAACACCGATCAGGCAAATTTCTGCGATTTCATTGGGACTTCTTTTAGTAAATCATTGTCGGCTGAAAACATTCCTGAATTGTGCCCAATATGTGAACCAAATACAGAATGTTTCTGTACAGAACCACATGAGCATGACTGCTGCGCCACCACCACCTTGAGCGTGGGTATCCAAATACTACTTCCGGTTCTTAATATAAGATTCTGTTTGATTTTTATTTTGATTCTAAATATAAGATCTTAATCCACTTTGTCTCTCATATTTATACATTTTTTTTTTCAAAATAACCCTTCTAATAATGATAGTTCTAGTCGATACACTTAATTAGTAAAAATATTTTAGGAAAAACAACACCTATTTAGAACAAATAACTAATTTAACTTACTCTTTTAATCTCCTCAAATTAGTCAACTGGCTCTTATAATTAGGACCGGAGGTGGTATTTTAATAAACACGCCACATGTAAAAATATGTAGTACTGTATATTACTACCTCCTGTCCTAATTATAAGAGCCAGTTGACTAATTTGAAGAGTCTAAGGATGTAAGTTGAGTTAGTTATTTGTCCTAAATAGGTGTTGTCTTTCTTAAAATATTCTTACTAATCAAGTGTATTAACTAGAACTATAATTATTAGAAGGATTATCTTGCAAAAAATTGAGTAAATACGAGAGATAAAGTGGATTGGGGTTCTTATATTTAGGATCAAAATAAAAATCAAACAGAGTCTTATATTAAAGATCGGAGATAGTATTATATTATTATTTTGCGGGGAAGTTATTTAAGACAAATAACTATATTTGACTCATGAACTAAGTATCCAAAAAATATTTGACCAATGAATAGTTTCACTTAAAAAAAATGAAATGCAGGAAATATTGACCAAGGTAGCCCTGAAGGTCAAAAAAAAAAAAACGGGTAGACCTGGTGAGGATAGTTCACGTGTCCAGCTAACCACAGCTTGAGCCCAGGACCCCCCCCCCCCGCAGATGTGCTTTGAAGTTTTCTGGGACCTTTTAGCCCTTTCCTTCATAAAATACAAAACTTCCCACGCAGCGTATTATCCTGTGTGACATGTGAAGCTAAAATGAATTCAACTCTTCATAATTTATTAATAATTTAATTTATACACACACACACACACACCTATCTGTGTGTATATTGATCGCTTAAGCAATTTATTATAAAGATTTATTTCATATTTTATATCAATTGATAATGATTTGGAAATACTCCGCATTCTAAATAGCATTTTTTTTAAGGGGCAAAGGCACAAAAGAGATTCCTGAGGGATCGATGGAAGCAAATAGAAGTGTACTATGCATCGTCCAATTAGAAGCCTCAGGTCCTAGCGTCAGTTAAAGAATCTGAATGTTAGTTCCAAGAACTGTTAATGGTATTCGTTGATAGATCCACACGAGTCGTTGACTATCGTATCTCGTTTCTGAATGATGCACCCCAATATTTTGAGTGAGGCTTAGCTCAGCTCCTGCACAGGCCTTCCAACCACCAACGATCCTCATTTTTTCCCTATTCCTTCTCTGTATCGGAGCACTGACCCCAGTGAAACAGAAGCCCATCATGAAGCAAACTATGGAATCTCCGCTGCTCGGAGGTGGTGGCTTAGGCAACAAGAAGAAGTCGATGAGAATTATCTTATTCGTTCTCGCCTTAATGGCTCTCTCAAGTTCGTTCTTCTTTCCTATTCTGCTGATTTTTGTTTTGTTTTTTAATCTGAAATAGTCATTGAAGAGATGTTAACGAACAATTCACTTCTATGCAAACCTTCTGGGTGGTAATCTTAGTGCACGTAACTCTGAAGCCTTACTTCTTCTCGCACTTTTAGGGCCGGGGAAGGTGAAAAAAAACTTATCTCCGGCGATAATGACTGATTTTACAAATTTCTGATGCAAGCTTTTGGGTAACATGATTCTGAATTCACGAGCATGACTTTACTGAGACATAATTGGGGGAAAATGCTTGAGTCTCGTGATTTCTTACATTTTGACCTCTTCTCAATTTATGACCGGAAAATCTTGATTGCTTCTGATTAGTGAAGACCAAATCTGTTAGAAACGATACGAGAGTCAGAAAAAGATATCTCACAACCTCATTTCACAGGAGCAATTTGATTAACGTATTTACTGACTTGATCTAATGCTTGAAACTGTTGTGTTCCAGTTTTGGGACTTGTAATCAGAGGCAACAGAAACTTGTGGGGACTAAAACATGATGTGGGAATTAAAACCAATCAACAGGATACCATCGAGTCCGAGCTGGGAGTTGTTGCAGCCGACGATGGCCGTTGTTCTGAAATCGGAGCTTCAATTCTTAGGCGTGGTGGGCATGCTGTTGACGCTGCAGTGGCAACTTCATTATGCCTCGGCGTTGTTTATGCTTCATCTAGTGGCATAGGAGGTGGGGCATTCATGGTCGTCCGATCTTCTGCAACTTCCCGGACACAGGCTTTTGACATGAGAGAAACTGCTCCTTTAGCTGCTTCACAGGTCTGAATTCAACTCTTTCTGTGAAACTATTGCTGCTGTTAAACCTTACACATCAATGGGGCCGATCAATAGGAACTACGGAAGGAACGCATGGTTTGATGATATGGATCATGCTTAATGAAGGAGAAAATCACACAAACACACAATAAGTTTGCAACAATTACATTTTTGTTTGTTCCCAATTAAACTTGATAATTCCTGCTTCACAAAAATTCTACAAGAATGTAACTTACTTTTTTTATAACCATGTGAATGTCACCCAAACAGGATATGTATCAGAACAATCCTCAAGCTAAAAGCCAAGGTGCCTTGTCAGTGGGAGTTCCTGGTGAGTTAGCTGGCCTTCATGAAGCTTGGTTGCAGCATGGTCGCTTAAGATGGAAAGCTTTATTCCAACCGGCTATAAATCTTGCTAAAAATGGCTTTGAGGTGTCGCCTTATCTTGGAAATTGCATAGCTCACTATGCACAGAGGATAATGAACGATCCTGGGTTGAGAAATGTATACGCTCCAAATGGCAATTTGTTAAAAACAGGGGAGACATGCTATAATGTGGAACTTGCACACAGCTTAGAGGTAGTGGCAGAACAAGGTCCACAAGCTTTTTATAATGGAACCATTGGTGAAAAGTTAGTGAAGGATGTGAGAGAAGCTGGTGGAATTCTAACAATGGAAGATTTACATAATTACAAGGTGGAAATAACTGATGCAGTCACTGTGAATGCGATGGGCTATGCCATATATGGAATGCCTCCTCCTTCAAGCGGAACACTTGCTCTTTCTCTGGTGGGTATATTCCTATCTCCTGTTTTATTTTCCATGTTGTCTTGCGGGAAGGGGGGCATATCTGCCCTCGATAATTTTAACCATCCTCACAAGTAAACAAGCTATAGGTTGTTTTAGTTCACGAACTGCTCTTCATGGTTTCTTTGCTTTGAATAGGTTCTGCATATCTTAGACAGTTATGGAAGTTCAGATGCTGCAAAAGGGGAGATGGGTGCTCATCGGCTGATAGAAGCTCTGAAACACACATTTGCTGTTCGAATGAACCTGGGCGACCCTGATTTTGTAAACATAACTAGTACTGTATCAGACATGCTTTCCCCTTCTTTCGCTAAGAAAATACAACAAAAGATACTCGACAACACTACATTCCCTCCAGAGTACTATATGAACAGGTGCTGTCCAATTAACTTTCCCTTATTATTATGCTTGAAAAGTTCTAAAGTATGACATAATATGGTGGGCAGGTGGGATCAAGTTAGAGATCATGGAACAAGCCATTTCTGCATTGTGGATGCTGATAGAAATGCTGTATCATTGACAACAACTGTAAACTGGGTTTTTGGAGCCGGTGTGCTTTCTCCTTCTACTGGTATTGTGCTCAACAATGAAATGGATGACTTCTCAGTACCTACTTATGTATCACCTGAAAAACTTCCTCCAGCCCCAACAAATTTTATTCGACCAAACAAGAAACCATTGTCTTCCATGACTCCCATCATCATCACGAAGGTATTTCTTGTGGTTTGCACACTCTGATGACTAAAATTTGATAGTAATTTCCATGTGCAGAATACTTCAACGGTTTTGGAGGGTAAGGGCTCTTATTCAAGTTTGCTAATTGTTATGATCCTCTTGCAGGATGATCAATTGGCTGGAGTTATTGGAGGCAGCGGTGGATTGTACATCTTTTCATCAGTGATTCAAGTTTTTCTAAACCATTTTGTCCTGGGAATGGATCCTCTGGATTCAGTTCAGAGCCCAAGGATTTATCACACGGTTTGAACTAGTTTTTTTACTTCCCAGAATAACACTATCTATGCATGTTGCTACGAACTACCACTGAATTTAGTTTTCTTGTTATGCAGCTTATCCCCGATGTAGTTAAGTACGAGAACTTGACTGCTCCTTATGGTGACCGTATCGAGGTGTTAGATGAAATAAGGCATTTCCTGGAAGACAGGGGTCATCAACTGAAAGAGGCCCAATCACCATTAGCCATCACTCAGCTTATTGTGCAAGATCTCAAAAACCCTGTCAACATGAACAGGAAGATCAGTAAAGACACCAATCCTTATACAATGCACGGCACTTTAACTGCTGTCAGTGACCCGAGAAAGGGTGGGTGTCCAGCAGCCATCTAGTTGCCATCAATTCAGATTCATACCATCACAGAAACGTGGGGGGACATATATGTACAGTGCTTGAAAATTTAGAATAAATTGCGCTAATGAGTTAGCAGACAACATTAGTCATTTAAAAGTCCATTTAAACACAACTATACATTCTATTTTGGAAATAAACACAAATTATAAGAGATATAAGAATACATTTATAGATAAATTTTTTAAAGTTATTAATCAATTAGTTGTTTGATTAAAAATAAATATAGAAAAATTATGTGACATCTTATATTATTAGAATGAAATTTGAATTTTTGAAGCAAAAAAGGATTTTAGAATTTCGTCACAACTATGAAGCCATAAATTTAAAATATGATCCTCTTTTGAACACTCATAAAGATTGTCTTTAGCCTCCCCATCGAGATCCTTTTCTGGCTCCTCTTAAGATCCTTTTTATGATTTTTCTCGAAGTCTTTACTTAGTAGTTTGTATTTTAACACTCATCGTCTAAATTTAGGGTTAAGGTTTATCTAATACTAAAGTATTTTTCAAATGCATTGGGCATTTAAAATATTAATGGTTCATCTAGTATCCTGAAGTATTTTTATAGTGTGTTTAGCACATTAAATACTCTATTTATAAACTCTAAATGAGGGTGCTCAACAAATCTAGAAAATTATTTCACGATACTGGATGAACAACAAAATATTTTAAAGTGTTGGATACATCGGAAAAAATACTTCAGAGTATTAGGTGAATTATTAAATACTTTAGCATTAGATAAACTATAACCTATAAATTTGTTCTTTCATAGTTTCACTTCAGATGAAGATTAACCTCTGTCGGGTTAAGAGCGTTAAGGTTAAAATCTTTGTGTTTCTCAGAATTTAAACTTGTGTTCTACTTTTTATAGGACGAAACCGCTTACCATGTCAAGCATGAAAGTTAAATTTATTTGATTAAGCTCTTCCTCTTCCATTTTTTTTAAAAATATAAACAAAGTGAAGCCTTCTAATAAATTTGGGATTGTGGTAGGTACAAACGCAAATGTTTTGTTTACTCGCAGCTAAAAAATTTCCTATGTTTTTGTTAGAATTTGGAGGATTAAAAGTTGAGGAAAACAAGAGTCTCAAAATATTATTAATCTTTGGATAAGACAAGTACAAATAAGTTTTTATATAGGCAAGTCATAGGCTAATAAATTAATCCTAAAAATATTATATAATCCAGTCTAAACCTAATATCATAGATTTATTTTTTTTAAGATATGATAATATAATATTCAAATATAATCCTAAGTAATATCCTAATATAATTCTAAATGACTGAATAATTAATAAAAAATAATATTAATTGATTAATTATAACATATTTTCACATCCTCTAAAACAAATCCCTTATTAATTACATTAAAATTCACGAACATGGCCTACTTCAGTTGACTGCCGGTGAATGTCCTAGTGACATCTTCTCGTGCAGATCGGTCCCTTTGAAGGCGATTGACCACAGCGGCCATTCCCGTGGCATATATGCCCCACCCCCAGGGTCAGTTTGAAGGAGGAACAACATATAAAAACAAACCTGATCTCCCATCCCGACAACACTTTCTTAAAAAGGAGTTTCCAAGAAGCCTCACATATAGGAAAGACCTCAGAAGATTGCCATGAACCAGCAGCCATTTTTCCGAATTTCTGTATGTGCCATAAAACCTTCTAAAATTTTATATCAGAAAGTGCTACCGTGGAGTCACCTGGCGACTCCGCTAAAGCCATTGTCGTCGCCAGAAGGAGAACTTCTAATCTAGAGATTGAGCTATATTTCCACATAATTGATTAATTAATTTTAGTATATTTTCACAGTTTTAAATAGGTGATTTTTTTTTACCATATTTAAAGGTGAAATTACTTCACACGAAAATTTAGAATATATGCCTTCTTTCACGAATAGTTAAGGATAAAAATATCTTTTAACTCAAACTTTATTCACTAATTGTTTTGTATCAAGGAAAAATCATATTTTTGTTTTCAAAATAAGCGATTCGCTAACTGTTTTTGGTTTGACGTTGTTTGTGCTGTATTAACTATTGTGTCAATATCAATATAAAATAAAATTAATAAAAAATTTCATTGTTTATACATTAGTGTGATATTTTAGATTTTGGACTTTTTATTTTGTAAAATTTATTCACAAATTTTATTGGCTTCCTTGTTTTTTCCATTTTTATTCATTCAATACTTTTTCATAAATTTTAATACAATTTAAAAGTTAAAAAAAATGAGCACAATCCTTTATAATATACTAGCTCTAATTTTTAATATGAAACCTAGATAACTAATTTGAGTAGGCTAAAAAAATTTATTAAATTAGTTAATTTTAATAAATATGTGTTTTTCTTAAGATGCCTTTACTAATTATACGCATTAGTTAGAACTATTATTTGATGAAACTCTTGACATGCAATTATTATAAGAATTACTTTAAAAAAAAATAAATAAAATTAAGACAATAGATAGGGAGTCTTGTATTTAAGATTAAATTGAATGTCAAATTAATTCTTTTATTAATGACTGGAGGTATGATTTAAGTTGTTTTCTTAGGCATTCGCATGAAAGGATACTGACAAATTAAAATTATTTATGCATTAATATTAGAGCCGTTAGAAGCCAGTTGGAGTTTGACATTGTAAACGTAGAAGTCAAAATGCAGCCATTGGTCTATGAACTGGACAACCAGCTTTGCTCATCGACGACAATTGTACGTTGACCAAAAGGAAAACATATACTCCTCCGGTCCTTATTATAAGACCCAATTTGACTTTTTATTTGGTCCTAATTATAAGACCCAATCCATTTTGTCTCTTATATTTATGCATTTTTTTCCAAGATAATCCTTCTAATAATGATAGTTTTAGCCAATATACTTAATTAGTAAAGATATTTTAGGAATGACAACACTTATTTATTATAACTAACCAACTTAACTTACTTCCTTAATCTCCTCAAATAAGTCAATTGGGTCTTATAATTAGGACCGGAGGTGTACATGTTTTTGAAAGCCAACACCTTTCTGGTGCAGTGGCATGAAGTGCGACTTACGTTGTGGTATTCCTATCGCGTTTGAATTCATGCCTGCAAGCAACAATGAAGCAGAAGCGCTTCCCACTATTAGCTGATGAAAAGAAGACTCTTAACAACAAGTGTTCCAATACTGTAATAAGAATTATCAGTACTTGACAGGCACATTATGAACGAGTGTCATAACTCAAAAGGATAACTCACGAATTCTAGTGGCCAGTCACAAACGCATGAATATCAAGAGATCGTATTATGTTATATGGAGCCTTCTGTGTTAATCATAATGTCATTCAAACAAGGATCATCAATCTCATCTGAACTTGGCAACCAACAAAATCAATCTCATCTAACAGTTCTGCTTTCCGTCTGTGCTCTACAAATGAATTACCAAAACTGAAAAATGTAGAAGTTTCCTCAATTTTTCAAGGAGTTCAAGTATGCCCAACACTCTTTAAGCATTTTCTCATATGTATCCAAAACCAGCACAATCTTATCAATTCCTTGCAACACCCTTAAGTAAGCCTGAGTTTGACAAATACATCCTGGTTAATACATGACAAGCAGATAACGTGTCTTTTTTAATTGAAGCTTTTTTTTTTCCCCTGTTCAAGAGCATGTTTTCTTTCCAGAGATAATAAAAAAAAAACTTCTTGCGGTTTAAATAATTTTAAATAGCAACTCAAGGAAAACTATACTCATTTTCGGTAGATGTAGCAGGCGCAGCGTAGGACGCTCCTAAGCCTTTGTCAGGTACACGACCATGCCCAACGAAATAAATCAGCCGATCTTCTTGCTGGTGATGTTTCCGCAGCCAATTGTTAATGTCGTTAGTCTCTGCCCTTATGATAAAAATCGAATCTTTAATTTTTAAAAGAATGACAAAAAAAAACTGAAAATTATAAATCTCCAATTAGATTTGGTAACACAACTTTATTTGGTATTAATAAATCTGAATTTACAAATGACAACAAATTTTTGTTAACATTATTTGTTTACATTTACAAAATTCCAACCCTTTTTTTTTTTTTGTCATTGTTAATTTTTCCAATGAAATTACCGATAGATCAAGGATCACATTAGCCATCTTAAAACTCTGATCAAGGATCATCAATGAAGATTCTATTATTCTTGGTATTTTCACCAGCCAAAAATATTTGAGATCTTCAACCAATATTTGAAAGCAAGGATCATCATTCAACATTCTATTATGGAACAGGGAATGCTTCATTTGCCTGACCTTAAGCCGTTATCAGGCGCACCAACATATAAATTTTATGTAGAAGGCACGTGCCCAACAGTAAATACAACCAGAACAAGGGCGAGAAATATGAAATGGACTCAGAATTTCACTTCGTCATTTATGAAGAAAATTGGAGACTGATTGTGAAAGGCCGAATTCATAAAGAAACTATAGTAAAGGGAGCAGCTAATAATACACAAATCACCGAGTCAGCATTTTGCATACTTCTTTTAATTTCATTTGCTTCATGACGCTTTGTCCATCAGCTGAATTGGAGTCAGAATGTTTGATTTGCTTGTCTCCACAATACAACCATTCATGACCATCTCCTCCAACATAAAATGCGCCTTTTCTAAATGGAACATGATATCTAGCTCACACTGCAGAGTTAAAGTGAACGAGATATCTAAAATTAAGACACCTTACTGGGAGCTGCTCGCAGAAAATGCAAGTTTTTTAAAGAATGTGGGGAGGGAGGAGAAACTAGGAAAAAGAATAAACACAAAATCCCATAGATTCCAATAAATGGAAGACTTACCACATTGCCAAAGTGACGGTCCATGGTTTCAACTAAGAGATGTATGAATTCCAAAATAGCAAGCTCATTCTGCAAAATTTTCCGCAGAAGATGGGATAAACGGTCAAGGGTAGATTTTTTACGCTAACAAGACTCAAACAATAAAAAAGTCCTCCGCCTTCTACAAGACAATCAATATTTTCCTTTACGCCTAAGAGGCAGATCAAGTTTGAAGCCACGTCGCAAAGTTCAATACTAGACCATTTCACATAAAATGTTTAAGAATATAAAGAGATTACGTGTGGTACTTAAATGAACACATTCAGAATAGCATACAAAAAATGATTACCTCCTCATCATCAACTCCGACCAGGAAAAACAAGGAAGCATAGCGCCTGTATACAATTTTGTAGTTGCGATGCTCAACAAATGAACACTGTCCACAATGAAAATGTATCAGCTAATAGGTAAATCAATTGCTGTCAACAACAACAAACAGAGAAACCCATATTCCCATATATTTCAGGATAGGCTGCACAGATCCTATCAAAATATAAAGATAATAAAGAACAGAGAAAGCACCCGCAACAAATTTCATTTGAAGAATAACAAACCTATAAATATGTTAATAGGAATATCAAGTATGAAATACCCACAGATTAGCTACAGGTCAACAGAAAAATAAGATAAAACCACTGCTTCTTTGTAAAGAAAACAAAATACATTTCTTGGCATCCTTGAGTTTTAATTGTTGCAGCCTGCAAGAAGGTTGAATGTTCAGCGTATCACTGGACGAAAATTCTAGCCATCCTCAAGTACAGCCGCCAATTCCTAGAGAAACTACTTCTTAATGCTTTGTTTGAGACTTTACATCCTGGATAAGACTTCAAGAGCAGCCTTCTGTTTGCTAAGGTGGTTCGTGAGGAATAAAAGGGGAAGCGTTCTAAGCAACAGAAAGTTGCTCATTTTCGTCTGACAATGTACCCAAACAGAGATTTTCGGTATCATACTACCAACATAACCCCATGAACTAACGCCAATCATACATATTGTCATCGATACTTTTTTGTTTTGTTTTTGGGGAGGGGGTTATCGTATTGATTTTGGTGAATCTCTACGGTTCACAACACACCCTCTGCCAAAGCAGTGGAAAATTATAGCTTCCTTTTCAGTTCAAAATAAATTTATGTCAAAATTCAGAGGATATGTTTCAACCCTTTCTCATCATTTGATTCTAATACCGAAGTTAAGAAATATACAGAACAAAATAATGCACGAAATTCTTTGCTAGGAGGGACAGATGCAAATAATAAATTCCTTTAGAGTGTTATATAAATCGCAAAGATAGGCAAGAACAGAAAGAGAATAATAAACCCAACAAGTCTCAGCTATCCCTGATAACCATATTTTCCTGCTGAATCCTTCAAAATCAAACTAAACATTTTTCGTATACAGATGTTCAGACTTAGAATCCAAGTTATGGTTTACAAAGCCTTCTTCAGTTGTTGATCAGAACTTGAAATGACAGCGTAATTACTAAAAATTGAACAACAAGATGGAGAAGAGAAAAGGAAGAAAACCTGCTGCTCAGTACGGGCAAGGCATTTGCGAACGATTTCGCCTTCAAGGGCTCGCCTTTCTTCGATAGTGAGGTACTCGTAATATTGGGCAAGACGGGTCTGCCCCTGCTTGTTCACCATCAATACGAATCTGATCCCCATCCTTCACCAACTTGCCTTGCACGGTCACACAGATTCCGATCCGTATACACCTCCAGTCCTCGATCGATGATCGATTGAACTCTTCCTCTTCCTCTTTTCTTTTATTATTCTTTCTGGTGATAAATAGCAAATTACCCTTTAAAACTATTTTTTAAGATAAATAGAAATTTAATAAAATATCATTACTTTTTATTTAACCAAGTGTTTTTAGACTCGGAGCACAAATGATTTTTACCTCTTCTAATAAGTATATTTTTCAAAATTTAAACTTGTTTTTTTTTAATGTAAAGTGAGGCTGCTTGTTATCTCAACTATCAGTTTGTTGGTATAAAAAATTATTAACAAATACTCCTGTGATTCTTAATATAAGACCCATTTAACTAATTTAATTAGATTAAGAAAGTTAGGTAAGTTAGCTAATTATAAGAAATGTGATACATTTTTTTAAAACACCATAATCATTTTTTTAATACCCCATCTCCCTCTTCTACTTGATTATGGTTGAGGGAGTATCCATATAGGTAATTTAGAGAAAATTGATAAATATAAATGGGTTTTATATTCAAAATCAAAATCAATTTAACAATTGGATCCTATATTAAAGACTGGAGGAGTACTATATATCTTTATAACAATAGTTGTGCCTGTATCAAATATTATGTCAATATCAATATAAAATAAAATTAATAAAAAAATTTCATCATTTGTAAATTAATGTGATTTCTTAAGATTTGGGCTTTTTATTTTTTAAAATTTATTCACACAACTTAATGGCTTCAGGACTATTTTATTTTTATTCATCCAACATTTGTTCATATATTTTAATATTACTTAAATGTCAAAAGACATAAGTGAATAACATAATCTTTTAGACTGTACGCGGATACTGTCATGTTGACCCTTTTTTTTTTTTTAAGGCAGGACAAAAAGAGATAATACAAATAAGGTCAGTTACATAACAGCCTTTATCTCATAAAACCAACAAAATAATTATTAAAAAAAAAGTTAATACAAACTTTGGTCCTTTAAATTTATTTTCATTTTGATTTTGATCCCTTAAGTTTCAAAACATAGATTTTGATTTCTTAAATTTCTTTTCATTTAAAACATTATTTTTTATAATTTAATAAAAACTTATACCATTTTATCTTTGGAGGGATCAAAATTTATAATTTGAAATTTAAGAAACTAAAACCAAAATGAAGACAAAACTCTGATGGCCTGAAAGAGATAAGATAAAGCAAAATATTATGGGGGGATACGTTAAAAAAAGACATAAATTGATTCTCTAGTTAAATAAATTTTGTTGGGATGTAAATAATTTATAAGTAATCTTGCATTGAGGCCTAAATTCATTAGCATTGGATTATTTAGAACTCAAATAGAGTTTGATATTGTAACCTTAGAAATAAAACTACTGCAGCCATAAACTATAAACTGGATAATAAACTTTGCTCATGGATGAGATATCGAGACTGTACATTCACTAAAAGCAAAGCATATACATATCACACGGAAACAAAAATGCATTTGAAAATGAAGAAGAAGCCCTTCCCTTTATTAGCTGATATAAATATTCTTAAGAACTCTTGGTGGACCAAAAAAAAAAACAAAAACAAAACAAAAGGACCCTCAACACATGAACATGTTGAGAGCGTTATGTCAATCGTTAGATTGCACCTTCCGTATTGACCATAATGTCATTTAAAGAAAGATCATCAATCTCATCTAACATTTCTGTTTCTTCCCTTTGGTCTGTAATGACGTCTTTAGGACCCAAAAAGCTGGGCTGATTCGTTGATGACAGAACCCGTGCCCACATTCTATCAGTTATCACCACACAGTTCTGTCTCTCTGTAATTCTCTGCATCATCCGCAAAAACAACAAACGATGAAGAGGTTTAAGGAATAAATCCAACGAATATCAGGTATGCGTCCAATGAACTCACGTAAAAAGGTATGTAAGTGTATCTTCCATTGACAAGTCCACTGGTAAAGCCAGTATAACCTGCCATTGCTCCGTGGACAGCACTTTGAGCAAGGAGTGTGCAGTAGACGTTGTCAGATGCATTACTTGGAACAGCCCGAATCATATAGGTTGGATCTGTCAAGAATTAAGAAAGAAGAAGCACCATTTGACATTCTACTAATTTCATCTTCCAATGTATACGTTTGATGTTAACAAGTTTGATTGTTCAAACCTATATATTTGAGATTAATGGTCATGGTTTTATGTTTGGCAAAATGGTCCTGCAAGTAAAATTATTATTTTTGTATGATATATATAACAAAGATGCTCATATAGATACCGCACACAAACAAAAGAGACAAGAATGCAGACCTTGATCTTGTGGGATATCCAAAGGCCAACATCTTGAAGAAGCTTATTTCCAGAAGCATCCTTCTGCTTGGCCATGGTTTGCATGCTCTCTGAAACAAGGTCTTGCGCTGCCCCTTCGGCAATGACTATAACCATGTGCCCATTTTCTTTGAGCCTTTTCTCTATATACTCAAGAAGCCCACCTTCACCTTCAAGGTAAAAGTTTGACTCCGGAATCAGGCAACAGTCCACATCTCGACTTGCCAGGGTAGCATACATTGCAATAAACCCTGCAATAAAAGTACGAAGCGGAAAGTTAGGAAATTTTCTTGTTTCGTATCCACATAGGTTTTAGTTTGAAGGTAATTACAGAAACAAGTGTGTTAAACCCACCACTATAACGACCCATCAGCTTCACAACGCCAATGCCATTCTCAATGCTTTCAGCTTCAACATGTGCTGCATTTATAGCACGTTGAGCCTCCTCAACTGCTGTGTCAAACCCGAAGGATTTATCTATAACCTACCAACCAACATAAACAAGGCATACATAAGATCATTTAACTATGTATTAGTAAATAGGTTCATAATTCCCAGAAAAAAGGCGCACGTACCATGATGTCATTATCAATGGTTTTGGGAATTCCAGCAACTGCAACTTTTAGGCCACGCCTTCTAATTTCCTGCAGGGATAGCCCATAAGAGATGGTCTTTTTCATATCCTTAAACATCACCAAAGTCCGATAAACTCGTTGTTAAATCGTAGATACCTCAAAAATGAAAGACGCTCCCTTCTGAGTTCCATCTCCTCCTATTATATAAACCTGAGATTAATTCAGAGAAACGTTAATTACTCTTGGTAATATGATGTTCTTACCTGATCTTCTGGTAAATAGGAAGAAAGACAGACAAACCTGATTGATCCCCCGATCTTGAATATTGTCGACTATCTTAGTTGTGTCATGTCCACCTCGTGACGTCCCAAGAACAGTTCCTCCACGTTTATGTATATCGTTCACATTCTTAGGATTCAAATTAACTGTATTGCGAGCGTAGAAGCCCCGGTAACCTCCCTTCACGAAGCATGCATAAAAGTTGATTGCGTTTTAGAGTTAGGACCTTTCCCATGTCGCAGATTTGAGTAAATAACACCACAACATAGACTTACATCGATTCCCAGAACTCTCTTAACACCGTACATATGGTACAGGGCACATACTAATTCTCTAATGACAGTGTTGAGTCCAGGGCATAGACCCCCGCATGTGACAATGGCTGCCTGAACTTCGTCTGGTTGGAAATACACCTGAACATGTTCCAATTTTATATGACATATAATGATGAGAAAGCTGTCTAATAATTTATTATCAAATATTGCAGAGAAAGATCTCCATGCGTACCCTTTGGCGAGGTCCTGCACGCCGAAAATGTACACCTCTTGGACTATCTTTGTGAACAACAACCTGTCACATGAAAAATCTAAAAACCCACCAAATGTACGTAACAGGTCTATTTATAAGGTTATTGTGTTGAAAGGAAATTATATTGAATAAATTGCCTACCTTATGAGGAACAGTGTCATCTACGTGCACGAAATACTGCCTGGCAAATTGCAAATAACGTTGAATTTGCACGTCATAAAGAAACGATAGGAAAATGATAAAAAGAAATAAATTAGCATAACGTACTTGACTACTGAATATGCGGGATTGTTCTGCAAAGGATTAGAAAATGTCTGCATGGACCCAAAAATGGAAAAATGTGTTAGATATAATTTGTCTTGACATCTTAAATAGAGTCAATGGTTTTGTTAAAAACTTTGAAATTCCTTCTTTCCCATCTTGTGCTCACACTTACGTCAGCCAAAGAAGCAATGATCATAAACGAGAAAATATTCGAGAAAATATGGGAGCATGATCAAATAACGCAGACTGAATTGTATATTATGCGTAGGAAAGAGGCAACCTGTAACTGGCCGTAACGGAAAGACAAAAGAGACGAGAAGAATGGCAACGTACAGGAAGGTTAGGAATATAATCGGATAAATGTGGAACGTCTTCGAGGACATAACCCAACGAGCCGGTGACTATTTTGGGTTTGCAATCAACACAGGAAGCCATGGACCATTCAACTTTGGGGCCCGACAGTGCGGCGGTGGTGATGGCTGAGAAGGAAGAGAGGAAGAAGGCGTTATTAAGAAAGAGAGACATGAAAGAGCAGTGTGTGAATGAGAGAAGAAAAGGTGGCATAAATAGACGCCATTCAAGGACATAATGAATGGTCAGAGGATGGTCGTATTTATAGTAAAAGGAGTTGACGGAGAGAATCGAACTTAGGAAACAGAGAGTGCCATTAATCTAGAAAACAGATTCCCAATTCGTCTTGCTTTGGACAGAGACAACAATATATATATTTCCCAAAAAAAAAAAAAAGAGTTTCGTGGGTGTAATTGAGAGAAAATGAGTGAAACGAGTAGCAGAGAATGAAAATGGTTTCGTCTGGTTTTGAAGATGTAAACATTGTTGTTCAGCGTGGAAAAAAGGTGTTTTTGGATATCGCAGAATTAGTGCTCTTCAATCGGTAAGTATTCTTCTTCCTTCTGAGCAGAGAGAATGCCTTCCAAGATACCTACCAGGGAACCTCTACTACACTGCCTAAAATGACGTGAGGGTGTGTATAATAGCAGTTATAGACATAAAAGTGGATATATATATATATATATATATATCTGTCTATGCAGGCACCAAGAATAGATCGTCTATCTTCTATGTCACTACCCTAATCAGCATCACAGTAAACTGCTTGTTAAAGAGATGAATGCTTAAAAAGCACAAGACCTTCTAAAATTGTGCCACTCAAGTATCCAAGTATGCGTTTTACTCCCTTCTATTGTGTCCAACGTGGGCTTTTACATAAGTTATCAGTCTTTGTTAACAGTAAATGATATTTCTGGCCTGGTGATGGTGACCATATTGTGGTGCCCCAACCACAGATCTGTGCATTTTTGCATCAGCTTCAAATATATAGTTTTGGCTTTGATTTCTAAGCTTGAGTGTGGGAACCATTGGTGCAGGAACACCCCTTATCAGAAAGCATGTGAACACAGTGAAGCATAAGATCCTTAATATATTTTCTTCGGAGAAAGTCCAAGAGACCACAAGGGAGTTTATATACGAACCCGGATGCCTAAAACTAGTGCAACTCTCCAAGATCTTTTAGTGCAAATTCTGAGTTGGGCCAGATTTTAAGCTTTTGAACAAACTCTATTAATTTACCAATAATAAGTTTACATGACATCATCAACGTATGTAACCAAATTACAGATGAAGCTATTTAATTTGGATATATAGACTCGCCTCAAGCTTACATAACAAATTAAAATCACTGGATGTGGGAGTTTAATCGTATACTCTAATATTTTCTCTGTCCCTTTTTTTTTTTTTTTACCTTGGGCTCATCTCAAAAGTCTTGAATCATACCACAATTCCATTTTTTTCTCTCATTGTTTTAGTATGACAGCCTAAGCAGTAAGCACACTTAGTGAATATCAAACGAAGTCAACAATTAATTAAACTTTAACTGAACTAAACTAACTCTAGTTATCTCTTAACACAGACCAGGGAGAAATGAGGGGGCCCCCTCCCAAAAAAAAAAAAAAAACAACAAAACACCTCATTCGAGCTTCCGAAATTGGGAAAATTTTACTGGCAAAAAATGTTGATATGAATCTTAACACCCCCCCCCCTCAGTATTTGGTTGCCTAGGTATGACAGTGCAAACTCCAGGACGAATTGTCTTTTTTTTTAAAAAAAAAATCCATGATGAATTTAGACCAACTACAAGATGGCATGGGGAAAGGTTGTAACTTGCAACAGGCCTCAGTAGAGTGAATTTAATTAGACCAACAATCTTCAAACTTGTGTACTGGTCTCACAGGTTGGTGATTTGAGTTCGATATCTTTGCAAGTCCCGTCCAGATCCAATGTGTTAAGCCAAACATTCAGCCATGAAGACAATGAAAGCACCGAATTGTTAACTGCCCATTTAAAAATAAAAAGAATAAAGAAAAAAGGTGAAAAAGTTGCGCATAAAGAAGCAACGGAATGAAGTGTGTCATTTCAGTGAAGAGATGTTCTCCAAAGGGAACGTCAATAAAGAAGCAACAAGTAACTACAATTATTTTTTTCGCGGAACAAGTAACTACGGTTAACTTTCACACGTAAACAGACTATACAATCCATCCACAAAACGTCTTGGAATTTAACACATTTTAGAAAGCACCGCATTTAGCTCCAATCATCATGCAGGGTCAAAGTCGCCTGTAACCCAGTCCAAATAATAGAAGTTACTCCCACTCCGCTGCTGCAAAATCATCCATACATTGAGGCCTTTTCAGTTCCATGCGGTGGGATTACTGATTCCGAGCGTTGAATCCGAGTTTGGCCGGCAACCATATGCACTGAATGAGAAGAATATGATTGGACTGTTCCTATGGTCAACCCACTGGATTGAAACGCCAACGTGTGGGACCCAGTGGTCCTCCGCGCCGACCCTTTTAGGGCGGACAGTTCTGCAAGCCTCCCTCTCCAGTCTCAAGTCTGTCCAGCGTTAGCCTAAGGGGTCTGTGTGAAACTCCATCTCCATGTACAGGCTTGCAGCCTCCCGCCTCAGGGCCTTAACGGTCAGTCTTCTTCTCCTTCATTTGATATTCCTTGCCGCCAACCTCTTTTCCGGTGTAAGGTGCTGTTCGATATTTCGATTAGTTATAAAATATGGTGATGACAATGGTTTGGTTTTTCTACCTGGCTTGCTTGATGCATGTTATTTGCTTTGCCCCATTCGCTTCCGGCAAACTTTCCATTTGATGTTTCTTCATTTTTGCCCCTGCATTTTCATTTCAATCTTCTGACAATTGGTTTCTCTGCTCTGCAGTTTTCATTTCTGCTATAGGTCTATATTCACTTGAAGCTCTGAAATTTTAATTTCTAACCTCTGGTTGTTTATATATGCACATAGTGATTTCCGAAACTTGTACATTAAGGTTGACAGGAGATGAGACATTTGCCTAGGATTTTTGTTTCTCCGGTATTTTGGTTGTAACAATTAGAAAGGGAATAATGCTTCTTTCTCTTTTCCTTTGAGGTGGTAACACCCGCTTTGCTGGGCGTGGACAATAACGCACTTTTGATTTCACCGTTTATGTTTTAAAAAAGACAATTGTTATGATAGTTTATTGATGTTTTTATGCTCTATCATCAAACCATGAAACTAGGCCCGTTCATGGACTGGGGCATCAGCCAGATTTGCAAGCTCAAGTTCCGTTACCACAAAACAACCGTCTTCTGGCTCAGGTGATATATTTGGTTGGCTCACTGGAGAGCGATCCGTGCCCTTACCTCCTCTGGATTTTCCACTTCCAAGCATCACACTTCCACCTCCTCTGCCAGATCATTTTGAGCCAGGTAAAACCAAGGTTACTACACTTCCAAATGGTGTCAAGGTGGCCTCCGAAACATCAGCGGTATGGATTGTTGGCTTTATCTAATCTAGTCTGTCTGTGCATTGATGTTTTTCTCTTATGCAATTTAAAATTTAATTTGTTTTTCTGTTTATTATGGCTGTTAGACTCCAGCGGCCTCAATAGGCTTATACATAGATTGCGGCTCAATCTATGAGACACCATTGTCATTTGGAGCTACACATTTGCTAGAGCGTATGGCCTTCAAGAGCACTAGAAACCGTAGCCACTTCCGGATAGTTCGTGAGGTAGAGGCAATTGGGGGCAATATGCAGGCGTCAGCTTCTAGAGAGCAGATGGGTTACACTTTTGATGCTTTGAAGACATATGTTCCTGAAATGGTGGAGTTACTTATTGATTCCGTGAGGAACCCTGTGTTTCTTGACTGGGAGGTCAATGAGGAGGTAATTTTTACATTACTATATTCTTCTTGGAGACAAGTTTTAAATTCATATACTGGTAGTTCCCCACGTAGCTTGAATCAATGTTGTCAGAAGAACTAGGCAGTTTAAGGCACTGAGCTCCCAAATGCTTGTGGTAGTCATATATCTCTGAAGTGAGGTAGCCATTTTGATGAAATAAACTAGATAAATAATGAGTTCTATGTTTTTTATTGCTTCAGATGGGACTTTTTGGTTCAAAGTCCCTTCAATTCACATACCATTGACTGATTGGCTGTTTAAGGGTAAATGGGTGATCTTGCTTCAACTTGAAAGAGGTGAGTGCTGCAATTGCACAAGGCCTCTTACTACTGGAGCCAGAGGTGCCAGCCTTGACTTCCAATCGAGATGATCCTGATTGGGCTGTTTACAAGCATGTGCTTCAAAAGCGTTTGTAAACACTGGATTGAATATATCTATGTGGCAAGATTTCAAAAATACTTAATCAAGGTTGAATCTGATAATGTAGTTCTCTAGGCAGCTTTATGCTAGTCCTCAGGCATTGTCCCCAAAAAGTCTGTCATCTCATTGCAGTTATAGCATTCGCCCTTTTAATATTTTATATTTTTTCATAAAACTTCATCCTTTCTTTCCTGTCAAAGTGAGTTTGCAAGAGTGATGTTAGAGATTGCATTATACTGATTATGGGGCAGTGCTGTTTAACAGTGATTTATTCATGCCTGCTTAATAGTTGCATGGGTTTCTGAACTCACCACGATAACTTTCATTGCACTATATATAGCTTCTGAAGGTGAAAGCTGAGATTAATGAAGCTTCCAAAAACCCTCAAGATCTTCTTCTAGAGGCTATTCATTCTGCTGGCTTTGTTGGTGCTTTGGCAAATCCACTTTTAGCCCAAGAATTGGCTATAAGTAGACTAAATGGTACAATTCTGGGAGATTTTGTCGCTGTAAGTCATGAATTTCATCCATATACTCACAAATACCTCGATGTTTTCCTTTTTTCTACTTATAAATTTTGATATTTATGAATAATCAGGAGAACTACACTGCACCTCGGATGGTACTTGCAGCTAAGGGTGTTGAGCATGAGGAGCTGCTATCGGTTGCAGAACCTCTATTGTCTGATCTTCCTAGTGTACCACATCGGGAGGAGCCAAAGTCAGTGTATACTGGTGGTGATTATCGATGTCAAAGTGAATCAGGGGTATGCTTGTGAATAGATATTAGGTTCTGATTCTGTCTGTCCCTTCTGCTGAATTTTAAGTCTAGTATCCCTTGAATGTCCAGGTGACCCATTTTGCTCTTGCCTTTCAACTTCCTGGTGGTTGGCATAAGTTGAAGGAGGCAATGATTTTGACTGTTCTTCAGGTCTTGATGATTTCTTCTTGATTTCTTTCCTTGTGTGAGAACTCTCTTATGTAAACTGTTGCCAGGGATGTGGCTAAGAATGCATTGTTTAGCCAGCTCCTTAAAGTATGTTAGCCTTTTTACTTGGAACTAATTGCACTATTTTACTATAGATGCTACTGGGAGGTGGCGGTTCATTCTCAGCTGGTGGACCGGGTAAAGGGATGTATTCAAGGCTTTGTAAGTTATCTCAATATTCGGTCTCTTATGGCTATGATATTGAAGCTTGTAAGATAGAATAGAAGGGCCGGTACTGAATTACCCTTAAGAGAATAATATATGATGATAACTTTATTTCACCTGTCATGACTGGCATAAGTTTTCTATGCCTTTATTTTTCTGTGTGTCTTTGTAAATTTGCTACATTCTTGCCTCTATGATGTCCACATGCAGATCTCCGTGTTCTGAATAAGTACCCGCAAGTTCATTCTATTTCTTCATTCAACAACATTTACAATAACACAGGCATATTTGGTGTCCAAGTCACAACAGTAAGCACACCTGATGTCTTTGTATTATGAGATTATAGTTTTCAGATACAATGGAGCTAATATCAAGGTATATTTGCACGTAATTAAGTAATTATCAGTGCTTTTAATGAACCTTACGAACCAACCAGAATGGTAATCCCAGAAGGGTCTGCAGTTGTGAGATACGTCAAAGTGCTTCTTGCTATCATGGCACACTTAAGTTATGGAGAATTGATGATAAATATATGTAGCTATATTATATACAAATACACATGCCCAAGCACACTCTTTGTGGTAATTTAAAATCTAAAAGTTGAATCACTGAGGGACCAGACAAGCGTTTGAGGTACAATGACGATAATGAACTTGAGATTTTATATACAGGATTGTCTATTATGGTGTTATTGTATGAGGATGGTGGCTGTAATTTTGACAAGGATCTTTGCAATCTGCATAACCTTATGAGAACTGAGAAGTATAAACCTGTTTATTTCCTGATTAATATACAAATGGTCATTACTCTGCTCCTCTGCTGGATGTTACCCTGTGGATCTGTTCCTTTTTCTGCATTAGAATTGTCTGCACAGACTGAATTATTTATTCCTGGTTAGTTTTTATTCAAATGACAGTGTATTTATGTTTCTGATAGGAGTCAGATTTTGCATCAGAAGCCATTGATATAGCAGTTAATGAACTACTTGCTGTTGCTACTCCAGGAAAAGGTATGCTAGCATGCTATTCACTTGACTAGTGTTTTGCCTCTGTTTAGCCTTCCGCTTATACTATTGGTCCCGGTCCTCAGTTGACCAGGTACAGTTGGATCGTGCGAAACAGGCCACCAAATCTGCCATCCTGATGAACTTGGAATCAAGAGTAAGTGAATCCATCTCGAATGAAAATCTTCAAAATTATCAGATGAATTTTATTTCCGCGGAGCATAGCCTTCCCTTTCTTTTCTTTTCCTCTCTCTCCTTTATGTTTGCAACTTGTATCTTTTTAACATTAAACATTGGATTTTTTTATTTTTTCAGATGATTGTCGCAGAAGATATAGGAAGACAGATTTTGACGTATGGTGAGAGGTATGGCCAATGTATGAAATTTTTGAACTTGACAGTAACCTTGGTCGATGGGTGAGTTTTTGAAGGATGTGCGTTACCCGCTGGTCAGGAAACCTGTGGAGAATTTCTTGAAGGCAGTGGATGAAGTGACTTTGCAAGATATTGCCTCAATTTCTCAGAAGCTCGTTTCTTCCCCTCTCACAATGGCATCACACGGGGATGGTAATATCCTAGGAAGAATTTTCTGGGGTCGAGTTTTATCTTTTTGATAGCAATAAATACCAACAATGTTATAATATTTCATCTGCTTGATGTTGCAGTCGTCTATATTCCGAGCTATGATTCGGTGCGCAGTAAGTTCCGTTCAAAATGAGAATCCTTTTTAATAATCCTTCAAAAGTGGAGAAATTGGTTAAATTAGGCCGAAGTCCTAGAAGGAGCAAATGAGTAAGGGCGGAGGGCTCAAATGCAGACTGTCCCTACAAGATTGGTTGGCAAATCGGAGCTTCACAAATCACAAGATTCCCTAGGAAAGCATGCATTAGTATTAGGTCATCTGAGTCTTATTTGTGGACGCTAGACCCAAGAAGTACAACGCTACATGAGGTTTAGTGGGTTACGACTCCCAGACTCGTTTAGTTCTTATTTTGTTGGGCTTTTGCCCCGTTTCTAATTTAAAAAAAAAAGTAAAAAAATACACTTTGTTGATCTACAAGATTAAAAAGGGCCATAAAATATTTTTTTCCAAAGGTAAAAAATGTTAAAATAAAATATACATTATTGATCCAAACAATAATTGTTCAAATATGATCTGATAAAAAAAAATAGGGTGGAATTTTTGTGTGTTTTTTAAGCTAAGTCGTCCAGAATCTTTACTTGCTGGGTTCGAGGAAAATGGCATGAAAATTCCTGATGATATAATTTATTGATCAAGCACTCTTGTGTGTTGTGTGAAATTTGATCGGTAAATCATATTCAGAATTAGTGAACAGACTCTCAATGACTTGTTATTTCTTTTTCTCAACTTTTTTTACTTTTTCTTTTTGTCAATGGTATAATTTATTGTTTTTGAAATTTGAATGTGAAGAGTATTTTTTTATTTTCGGGATGACTTTCATTTCATCTGTGCAAAGAAGTTAATAATTCATTAACAAATGGATTGAGTACATATATATAAATATATGGATTTGAAAGATGTGTTGCCTAAACGTAGCCGAATATAATTCTATGTTTTTATATCATTTCAGTCGTAAGCAGCAAATAACCATTATTCGTATTATTCTCTTGTCATGCTCCTGGTTTTTGTCAGAAGATTCTATACAATGTGAATGGGAGGCATGCGTCCCAATATAATATAATGCCAAATGGCCTTTGTCTCCCCCCCCCCACCCCCAAAAAAAATTTTGCCTCTAAATCTGGACCTTATATATACACACATTCTTCTGATCCTTAATATAAAACATATTTAACTAATTTGATTAAATTGAGAAAGTTAGGTAAGTTAGTTAATTATAAGAAATATAACATATTTTTTCTAAAACACTATAATCATCTTTCTTAATACTCTCTCTCCCTCTTTTATTTGTTTATGGTTCAGAAAGTATCCATAGAGGTAATTTAGAGAAAATTGATAAATATGAAAAAATGAGTCTTATATTTAAGACCAAAACTAACTCAAAAATTGAGTCCTATATTAAGAACCGGAGGAGTATATTCTATACATATATCCACAAGATATGATTAATTGACGACCACCTTGTGCAAGTAAGGATGTACGTAGCAGGGCGTGCTAAAAATATGCTACTTGTAAGAAATATATTGCTACTGTCAGCAGTTTCCGGCCAAACATGTCATGTCCCAGTTTATATTCTACGAGCGGATCGAATTTGCTTTTTCTTCTTCTTCGATCTTCGTCTCATTTTAGTTTTCCACGACTTGTCGGGTTTCATGTTCCTGCTCACTGAAGAAGGTAGATTGGCTTCAATGGTCAAAACAATATCTTGACGAGTAAACATGTGGAACATCAATATTTATAATAAATTAATATACAAACCATGAATGGAGAGTCATGCCATGACTTCTGCTCTGTACTTACCTTTTATCCCTTCCTCATTCCTTTATTTATCATATAAATACTTCTCATCCACCATTAATTCTTCCCTTGTTTGACACTCTCTCTCCTTTTCTATTTGCTTTATTTTTATTCATTTTTGGCTATTCATTGTTAACGCGCGCTTATTTGATCTCTTAACCAATCAATTGTATATGTGTGTGGGGAATAATCAATCAACATTAGATGATCCCATATCCTGAATTAAAGATGACTAATTGAGTGCTTAATCTCCCTATATATATACTCCCTTCAATTCGTCCCTTATTATTATAAGATCTAATTTTTTGAATATGTTTGTCTTCTTTTTAGAAGATTCTTTTTGAGTTTGTGTGAGTATTTAATACAATATTACCTATTTTACCTCTAATTTAATGTATTTAATATATTCTCTTTATTTATTTATCTCACTATTACTCTCTCGTATTTATCCATTTATATATAGAGGTATATTTGGAAAAAAAAAAACTGCATTTGCTACATACTCTTCCAGTCCTTCATACATGACCCAATTGTTGAGTTGGTTTTGGTCCTAAATATAAGACCCATTTCTTATATTTATCAGTTTTCTCTAAATTACCCCTATGGATACTCTTTCAACCATAATCAAGTAGAAGAGGAAGAGAGGGCATCAAGAAAAATGATTATAGTATTCTAGAAAAAACATATCACATTTTTTATAATTAACTAACTTACCTAACTTTTTTAATCTAATCAAATTAGTTAAATGGATCTTATATTAAGAACCGAAAGAGTATTTATTACTATTAACTAATTTTAACTATTTTCTTAAACCATACAATTTGGTTAAAAGAATCTTATAATAAGGGATGGAGTAGTACATTATATGTTCAACCCCACCCAAGATTCACACACTTCTCAAGGAACATTCAGAATTTATCTATTTATTTTTGTCAAGGTTAACTTGAAATTAAAATTCATTCAAATTAATTATATTACTATTTATTAAAATAATTAAAATCATGGTTAATTAATAACATCTGCATTTTCACAAGATTATTTCACAACAGAAAATTAATAATTGTGAGTTCTCAACCAAAAAAAAAAGTGCCCAAAGGTACTTCACCTGCCCTTCCAGATTCGCATTTTATAACTAAAAGATATGTTTTATTTGTGTTATATACACACACTACTTCTAATCCTTAATATAAGAATTAATTGACTAATTTGAGTAGATTAAGAAAGTTTGTTAAGTTAGCTATTGGTAATAAATAGATATTATCTTTCCTAAAATACCCTTACTAATCATGTGTATTAGTTAGAACTATATTTTATGAAATTTTTAACACAATCAACTACTATAAAGATTACTTTAAAAAAATGAATAAATGTGAAAGATAAAATAGATTTGAATCTTATATCTAGAACCAACTTGAACATCAAATTAGTTTTTATATTAAAAATTAGAAGTAACGTGTGCATTATTGTTCCGCAAAGGTACGAAGAGTAAAGCGTTTGTGGTCTATAGGATGGGATGGAATGTGACCATCAGGTGGATATGGTTTCGCCATATGTGTTTTCTTAATAATGTTGTTAATCACACCCTAACTGCTTTGTACTTATTTAACGAAAACTCCAATGATGGCATTTTTTTTTGGTCTCCCATTTCAAAATGTTATGGGAGCCCTCATGTCTGCTTGCAATGAATTGTGATTATAAATTAAAGTTGCGTTAACATTTTAATTATATGCAGCATATTCGTCTCAACACAATATCTTATTTATTATTGATAATAATTAAATCGGTGATCAGAATAATTACCGTTAATAATGTTCCAATATAATCGAAAACCCCAACAAAAGGGAAATAGCGCAGATCAAGAAAGCTAACAAACCTAATTAATGGTCTCTGGCCCAAAAAAAAAAAAAAACCTAACGTTCAATTGTTGAATTAATCTCCAACATTAATCTCTTTGCGTGTGAACTCTAACTCTAGGATTTAAATAAATACCATATTTTTTAATCATGATTCACGCAACCATTATACTCTTTAGAGAGGGTCTGAATTCACAGCTCTACGCCTAAGAAAGTCTTAAAAAAAGTGTTAGGTACCACTGAATCGGATTACAAGGTCTTAAGAAATAACTATTGTACTTGAGCATTCTCTCTCGACAATATTTTTGAATATATTTGTGCAAGGTGGAATAAATGAAAAACTAATTTAGATTATTTGAGATTGGCAGGGGAAAAAAAAGATTATTTGAGACACAATTCTTATATATGCGTGAGTAAATAGTTTATGAATGTGGAAAATCCCGTGGGGATGCATGTTCACAAGGGCTGCTGGGCGGCCACATATAGGTCAGAGATATGGCTAAAGGTCAACTTAAAGCTGATATGATGAGAACAATATTTGAATGTGTGATGCTTTTATGGGTTTTGGTCAAAGACAGGAGGTAGAAAATGATTTTGTACAAGTTAAATTAAATGTGTTATTGGGTGCAATTTAATTTGTTTTTTTTTATCTTAATAAACATAAAGAACATATGTGCGGGGTCTTATAATTGAATACCTAATGTCTGTTTTAAGTTTTTTTTAATTAAATATGAAATTGTATGTTTGAACTCTTTATATATATAAGGGATGTATAAGTTATGAAAAAAAAGAAGAACGAGACATATATATTAGGGAAATTATTTGATATTTGAATTTCCCATTTTGAGCCCTATGATAATAATAGAGAATGAAATTAAACCAGAAGTTAAATTAAAAAAGAAAAGGGAAAAGAAGACATGGGGGACAAGAGGGGAAATGATAGCCAACAATGCATATACTGCAAATCATAATTAAGGATTGGGGGGAGGCAGACTTCATCATTTGGCTCCTCACAGTTTTTATAAACGTGAACTCTAACCCATCATCTTATTATCTATTTCCCATTCTTCTTTGGGTCCCACGCGCTCCCTGATCTGGACCCCACTGTTAGTGCTCCCGACCCTCTCCTGTTCATCCATACTTTAATTTATTACATACCCTCTCCCTCCCCATGAAATTCATTGCATTATATCATTAAGTATATACAAGTAGAAGACAAACACTGCCCAATACTATCAGTATTCATTATTATACGCTAATCCCGTGTATAATTGTCATCATTTATCTCTTCTTCACCCCTAAATATCAAATATCACGTACTCCCTTAATATAAGACTTATTTAGCTAATTTGATTAGATTAAAGAAGTCAGGTAAATTAGTTAATTATAAAAAATACGACATGTTTTTTCTAAAACACCATAATCATCTTCCTTGATATCCTCTCTTACTCCTCTACTTAATTATAGTTAAAGGAGTATCCATAAGAGTAATTTGGATAAAACTGATAAATATAATAAATAGATTTTATATTTAGAACCAAAATCAAGGTCTTATATTAAGGATAAGAGGGTATTTTAATTTCTTCTTCTTCCTTGATATATTCAAGAGCCTATATGTATAGCACGCATCTAATACATCTATATTAAAAGTATTATTTATGAGTCAGAGGATATAAATATACACGAGCAATACAGTAATTCTTTATATTATCAACCCTTGCCTGATTGAACTTCGAAATCCAGAGATGATAATATATATTGAGCCAACCCAAAAGAAAAAAGGAAAAGAAAATTAAAATGGGATGAAAATTAAATTAATTAAATAATAAAAAGGGAGGGTTATGGTCCACGTTGGAGAGATATTTAAATAAGAAATTAGGGGATAAAACTGTAGTAATTAGAAGGGGTGGTGGTGGTCCATCAAGTACACTGCTGATTTGCCTCCTTGCTTCTCAAGCAACCTCTCCTAATACTCTCTCTGTCTCTCTCTGCACCAAAACATTCATGGCGAAAGCATAATGATCACTTCTCCAGCTCAAATTCCATGTGAGTTCCTATCATCCTCTTTTTCCCGTATTTCAATCTCCCTGTCCCTCTCTCTCTCTCTCTCTCTACATTTTGGCTTTACCATATACAACTCAAATCTGACAATAATCTCTTCTATATATGCAAATATTATCTCACTCTTACATATTTTCCTGATGCTTCATGCCTGACGTCGTCTTTATTACTCCAACTCTATATCCCAGTCTTCATTTATCTCACGTAATAGAAAGACGATGTTTTGGCATATATATTTATATCTACTCGCTTTCAAGGACTTTAAAGCTTCATATCTATAGCCATGTATCTGATACATCTGTTTGATTTAAAGAGAGAGTAATGTATTTTTTTTCTTGGGGGTGGGGGGTGTTTGTGGGATGCGAAGAGTTTAAAGATCCCTAATTAAAACTCGTGGGTTTACAATTTAGTTGTCATTTAATTTTAGAAGTTTGAGCAGCTAATTAATTAAGCCCAGAAATCTCAATTTTTCTGCAACATATATATGAACTCTCAATATCACTAATTTCTCTGGACAGCGGCCATTGGAGTTTTAGTTGAAAGTGTTAACTTAGGGCATGTTACCCACGCAATTAAAAATTTAAAGGGCCCAGCCAACTTTAAGAGTTAGAAGGATAAATTAACAGTTGTCTTAAATTGAGAAATATTCTTTATGTTTTAGGTGTCAAACCCAATTCTTTAAAAGTTAGGGAGTGAAGTGTGTATAAAATATTTTTTTTCCTTTGATTAAGTTATATGTTTACCAAAGAATTTTTTTGACGTTATTTAAGAGATTGATCAAATTAAAATTGATCTTATAGGATCTGTTTTTATTTTTAACTAAAGTATACATTTATTTCTTTAATTTTATCGAAAATTTTAATTCAATTTCTTAATTTTAAAAGTATACTTTTGGTCTTTTAGCCCTAAAATTGTTAACAAAAAATAATGATATTAAGATCTTAAATATTCATAAAATATTTTCAAATGCTAACATATTAAATTTAATTTTCAAAACAACTATTATTGTTAGAAAAAGTTATCATTTTTTTTCTAGAGTTAAAAGATTAAACGTATACTTTTTAATATTAAGGGATCAAATTAAAGCTTTTTCTAAAATTAAAAGACCAAATATACACTTTAGCCTATATGTTTAATTGATTACATGATTTTTATTTTTAATGATGATCTTATATTGTTGAAGAGACACAATTTTAATCATGAGACGATTAATTACTTATTAGGTATATAATAATATTATGTCCATTTTAATTTAATCTACTATTTATAGACATACTCATTAATCACAGAAAAAAACAATTTTTTTCATGAAATACAAATTGCTGAAAGAATTAATCTTTAAGTAATTATTCAGATTTTTTTGGTTACAGAAGGTAGTAATTATTCAATTTAGTTTAGCTGTATAAACGAAATAATTAAATAACTCTAAATTAAAAAAATGTGTCTAGAAAAAGTAAAATCCCATTTTTTGTTAAATTGGGTACAGTTGAGTTAACAATATAGTATTAAGTGAAAAATTAAATGGCGTGCTTTTGAACAAGCGGCGTAGAAACAGCTTGGGATGGCCGTTTAATTTTGTGCCTTTTACTTTTGTAGTCAAGGCTCAAACAAAGGTGTAGCCTGAGGTAGGAGAGAGAATTTCGAGCTTTAGAGAGAGATAAGAAGAAGAAGAAAATATATAAAAATAAATAAATAAAAGAAGAACCGGGTTTTCTTGCTTTCTATCCTGTTTCTTTGTTTTTCCTTCTTTCCTTCTTTCTTTCTCTGTGTCTCTTTCTTGCTTCTCTCTCACAAACCGCCTACATACTGACTGATACATGCGCTTCTTAAATTGGCAAAGGCTTTAAAGGTGCCTATGTGTGTTTGAAGCAGCCGGCTTTTTCTTTTTATTAGTATTTTCCCTCACTGCCCCCTTCAGTTAAGACTTTAAAGTTGAGCGAATTCTGCTGTTTTTCCTGGTTAAAGCAGGTTTATAGTTCAATCCTACCGTGGCAGTTTCTTCTTTTCCTTCTTCTTCTTCGTCCTCCCCAGTTCTCTCCTCCTTCTGCATATATACTACTCCCCTCTTTTCTATGTCGGCTTTTGGATCGATTTCTTCCAAACTACTCTCTGAAGCACTCACATCCTTTAAGAATTGATAGATAGTTTGGCCTGCTTAATTTCGATTTGGTTGTATTGAAGGTTCTCTGTGATGCTTAGTTTGTTTTGATTATTAGCTATGTTGACGTCATCTAGTTTCTCAATCGAATCATCAGAAGCAGTGGCTGAAGCATCTATATCTTGATTATAAGGATGACAAACTTGTGAAAATGATTTGGGCAGTATCATCAACACAATCTTTTGTTGTTATTATTTTCACTTCCCAGTCATGGAAAACGATTGAAACTCACCCTTCATCCATTTCCCTGCTTCCTTGTTTCTGGAAATTTTAGCCCTTTGATCTCTCATGAATCAAGCTCCTGGAATAGTTCGCAGAGAGAGAGAGCATATAGAAGAAGTTGGCTCAGCAGTGGACTGTTACATAGAAAGAGAAATCGTGAAGAAAGGAGAGGAGGATGAACAAGATGAGCAATTTGAGCTCTGTGAACAGTTGTGATCTGATAGATGCGAAGCTTGAAGAGCATCAGTTGTGTGGATCCAAGCAGTGCCCTGGTTGCGGACACAAGTTTGAAACCAAACCGGTACGGCCACAAACACAAAATCTCTCTCTTTATTATTCTTTCCTTCCACCAAAAGCCTTTGACAATATATATTTCAAGAATCATGTAGTGAAAAAGCACATATATATCACTATGTATATGGCAGCTTATTTATTTGTATCCCCCTTCTATTTTTGGCCTGATTTGTAATTTGTGATCTGATGATACTCTATGTTTTTCCTTTTCCCGCTCCCCTCCCATGGCGCTACTAATTACCCCTAAAGTTTATGTATTTGTTAAAGCTTTCATCTTCTTCTTTCTTTGATTCTCTCTTTCTCTTTTGCTCTTTCTCATATATTCTTCTCCTTTTTTTTTTTTGCTTTCGTTTTTTATTTTGAAATCAGCAGGACTGGTTAGGTCTTCCGGCTGGCGTGAAGTTTGATCCGACGGACCAAGAACTAATCGAACACCTCGAAGCCAAAGTGGAGTCCAAGAATGTGAAATCTCACCCTTTGATCGATGAGTTCATTCCTACAATTGAAGGAGAAGACGGAATTTGTTATACCCATCCTGAGAAACTCCCAGGTCTCATAAAAGTTCCAAATAAAATAATAGATATCCTCACTCTAATTTTTAATCAATTACGTTTCTTAATTATAGTTGATCCAAGTTGCTGCATTTTACTCATTCTTATCACCCAACCACCTCAGTTAGTCTAGGACTTGGGCTTTCACTATATACACACACAAAATCAGGTGTGTGTTATTTTCCTTTTTTTAATGGATAATTTTGTGAAGCAGCTCACCTAAGTCGACCTAACTTTGATTTATGCAGGAGTAACAAGAGATGGGTTGAGTAGGCACTTCTTTCACAGGCCCTCGAAGGCTTACACGACTGGAACAAGAAAGAGGAGAAAAATACAGAACGAGAGCGAGATGCAAGGAGGAGAAACGAGGTGGCACAAGACGGGGAAGACGAGGCCGGTGATGGTGAACGGCAAGCAAAAGGGCTGCAAGAAGATTTTGGTACTTTACACCAATTTCGGCAAGAACCGAAAACCCGAGAAGACCAACTGGGTCATGCATCAGTACCACCTGGGCCAGCACGAGGAGGAGAAAGAAGGCGAGCTCGTGGTGTCCAAGATCTTCTACCAGACACAGCCCAGACAGTGTAATTGGTCGGATCGAAGCGCCACCACCGGCGAACCCAGCGCCGACTTCGTTAATGCCCATAGTAGTAGAAGAGACAGTGGCAGTGGCAGTTGCTCTTCTTCTAAGGAGATTAACAACAACGCTGTTGTTACAGCTCACAGAGATGATCAGATGTCGGCGGTGGTCGGGGTTGTTCCTCCCATGTCATCGTACCTTCATCATCATCATCATGCCTTGGATATTCAACAACACCTGAAACCCGACCACTTCGGATTCATTCCGTTCAGGAAAAGCTTCGACGAGGTACACACACTCATACAGATGATGTTTGGTAATTAACATGAAAGAGAATAGATAATAAACATGCACGAAAGTCTTTAGGGTAGATATGTTGTTGATTTTCCTCTTTCTAGCTAACGAGTTGAGTGATGGCATGTTGTAACCTTTGCTTGCATACACAGCATGAGCTATACTTTATGGTTCTGACTTATTCATAAATCAACGTCACCTAACTACCGATTGTTAATTCACCAACCGAAAAAGGGAACAGTGATTGATATAATAATAGAAAATCTAGCATTAACTTTGATTGGGTGAGAGATACATATGCGTGTGTGTGCGCGCGCGCGCATACACGTACTAACGAAATAGGTACAACGGGTAATGGCAGGTGGGAATAGGAGAGGGTTCGATGGGGAGAGATCAAGTGCAGGCATCAGGAGAAGAAGTTAACGAAGGACAAAGGCAACAACAACAACATCATCATCATCAAGTGGCTCAGCATCATCAGAATATGGCCACCACGGCGTTCCATATAAGTAGGCCTTCACTTCCAATCTCCACCATAATCTCTCCACCTCCTCTCCATCACACTTCCATCATCCTCGATGATAACTCCTACCATGTCTCCAGAATTATGCTCCAAAATGACAACTTTCAGGTAAATTTCCCAATCCCTCATTCATCTATCTTTTTCAACTTTTTCTTTTTAGGTAGGTTGTCTTTATATATCCCTTCATTTTTTAAGCATAATACATTTGATATATAAAGTGAGAGTAGTGAGAGCGAGTGAACAATGAAATATATAATTTAACTCTAAATGACACGGCCGATGGAGGTTAGATATATATTATTATGTGAATTTGTTGATTAGTTGGGACGTCTCTAATTAATTTTCATGAGATTCGAGATATTATGGGTTACGTAGGAGGAGTGAGGCAGAGGGAGTCAATGAAGTAATAAGTGAGGGAAAGTCTGAAATGGACCTGAGTCTGCATGGAATTATATGCATGAAGAAGACTGAGAAGGGGGGTAGCTTTTGGTGTGGGCTAAATCGCGAGCATGAGACTGTCTTTTCTGAACTTTTGAATGTGGTTGAAACATGATGATGATGATTTATGCTTTGAATTTGATGATGTTGTGTGCTTTAGAAATGCATATGTGGGTATATAATAATAAATATGGTAATGAACAATGGGATGGCAGCAACAGCAGCAGCAACATCATAAACTAGGAGGAAGCTCTGCGTCTGGTTTGGAGGAACTCATAATGGGGTGCACTTCATCAACTGATATTAAAGCGGTGAGTAATAACTTTTTGACTCTGAAATATATGAACTTTGTGTGTCATGATGCCTACTAGAGAGAGAGAGAGAGAGGGTACTATATGCATCATATGAAGAATTCCTTCTTTTTTTATTTTCTTTAAAAAAAGAATGCGGTTTTTTTATTATTTTGTTTTGAATTAAAGACTTAAAACCTTTTTCATCTTTATCTCTTTATCCCCTTCTATCCCATCCCCCTTTAATTTGTTCTCTTCGTATTGGCATATCCAGACACGGAATATATCTTTTCTAAGAGTATAATTAACTACATTGCGAAGAATTTTCCTTTTAAAAAAAGTAACTGAAGTATACACAAGAGTTGCCATATGGTTCGATGGGGGAGAAAGAGATTTGAAATTTTCAATATTTTTAAATATATAATTGGAAAAAATATTTCAATGCATTTTTCTTAAAATTTTTTATTTGAATTAAACATTCTGCAAACGGATAAGTTATAAGTATGTACAGGGAATATGTTCATATTTTTTTATATGAGGGGATATGTTTATGTGTGCTTAAGATAAAGGATTCTTTCCCCTTGAATCAAGGAAGAAAATATCAGGAATGTGAATGGAATTAAGCTCATCAAGAGAGAAATATCCTCTCTCTTTATTTCATTTTTGAACCGTTCACAATAGAAAAAACTTGCGCTGATTAAATTTTCTGCCCTATGACAAGACTTGTCCTGTAAAAGTCGGTTCTAAATGATATTTAATTATATTTGTTTTAGTCATGGAAAAATGGAGGAAGATGATAATGACATTCCTCATGCCTTGCCTTGTTAGACATAGCTAGTGGGCATTGACATTAATTGACCATGAGGTGGAAAAGCAGCCACCCTCCCTCAAGTGCTTCTTCCCTTCCTTTATCTTTTGCTTCCTCTCTGAAAATTAGTTGTATAAACCCTAACCCTAGTTCTCTTTCCATGTGCATGTAATTTCTCCCACAGGAATCATCCGTCTCCGTCGCAAACCAGCAAGAAGCTGAATGGCTCAAATACTCTTACTGGCCCGACCCGGATAACCCGGATCATCATGGGTAAAAAAGCACAAGATTTTTTTTTTTTTTGAAAAAAAAAAAGGTTTACAGAGAGATTGATCGACCATGTCAGTGTCGTCGTCATCATAAGTACGTAGGGGAGGCCTTTCCCTCCTCAAGTTTCTTTCCAACCAAAAAAAAAAAAAAAGAAAAAAGGGCAGAGAGGAAATCCAATGACGTCCATGGTTTACTCTTTTACTTTCTTTTCCAATGGCGGCCTGTTTAATTGTCTTTGTTAGCTCTCAGAACTAACTCTCTGCAACCGAACAAGCTGGAAAAACCCACGCCAGATCAGAGAAAGGAAGAAAATCAGACCAGAAGAAAAGACTGCCCTACCTTCTGACACACTGAGGGATGAGTCGAAAGTAAAATGCATCCTCCATCAAAATCATCACTATCATAATTACAATATAATATATATTTATTACATATATTATCTATATATATCATCTTTTGTTGTTATAATCTGCATATTAATTTATTATTTTGAGGTGTTTGTATAACTTATGTCTTTTCTTGTTTCTTTATACAAGAAATATACGAATGAGTTTGTGCAAACTGCAAACCGACCAAGTTACTCTTTTTTGCTGTAGTTATATATTCATGTTTTGTTTAATGTCATGAATAGGATTTATTACGCAGAAAGGAAGTGTCATGAAGAGTTTATCACGTTGGGGCTTCCCTTTCCATTTCTTTAATTTTCATATTCTCGAAAGATGCAAAGTAAGATCAGGTCGATGTAGCTCAAAATGTCTCTCTTAGATATATTTAGTAGTGATGTCAAGAAAATAGTATATATTTAAAAAATGAGCCTATAGCAAATCACTATTTTATGTTTTTTCTAACATATATTTCACATTTAAACTGTGGTATATGTGTATGTGTATCCCCTTAATCTCTCTTGTCGTTTTCTTTTGTTGTTGCATCCATAACTCACTCGTTGTGCCAGGACGCCTATTAATGCTGGGTAAATGAAAAAAGATAATAATCTTCGTATTTCTAGCGGTCTTCAACTATTCCATCTAATTTACACCATGCACAGTAATCTTCACAAAATGTCATTCTTGGAGCTTTCGTTGGTTCCGATGCGTTCACCAAATAGAAAGAAAATTAACTTTGGATGATGAGTTTCGAGAAAATCTTTTAGTTTAGATGGGTCCCCTTGAACTGTTGAAAGATCTATATGTGTGGGAGTGCGTGTGTCTAGAATTAAACTTGACGTTGTAATTTGCACATGAAACTAATTCACTTTTGCTGATTTCAAACCGTATACCTTACTAAAAGCATTTATCATCCGTCCTGTGTCTGTCACAAAAAGAAAGGAAAAGAAAGTAAGGGAACCAAATTTCAAATATATATGACTTAATGTTTGAATTTTATAAGCAGTGTTTTATTCATTCATGATATGATTTTCAGGTTTTTGATTTGAAAGTGTGACTAGGAGACAGAGACAACTTTATTGCTTTATTCTGAGTTAGATTCGAGCTTTTGGTGCTGTATTATTAGAGTTAAAGATCTGGTTTTGCCATCACCCATATCTCTCGCCCAGTAACGTGCATGCCATCTTTTGCTTCATGGGACATGCATGCAATAAAGAGAAAAATTTGAAGATGTACGAAGAGGGAGCAACTTCATCGTAGTTTCTCAAAGGGAATAAAGAGAGGGAACAGAGAATAATAAGACAAGAATAAACTTTTGGGTTCTTTTTATTTTTATTTTAAGGAATGACAGCCATGTTCGAACTGCTTCCTACCTTACTGGGAATCGTACAAGAGATACATATTAAAAAAACGGGGAGGTGGCTAGCTTTTTGTATGTGTATGTGTATATACAAATGTAATGAGTGCTAGGAGAATCTGAGAGGGATATAGGTGATGAGGAAATGTTCCAAAATAAACAAAAATAGAAAGAGTTGGTGGAGGGTTGGTGACGAGATATAAATTAGGAAGAGGCGTTTTCAACTCTGAATAATTAAGCCATAATTTAAGAATATAAAGCAGACCTAAAAAGGTGATATTCAGTTGTTCCAACTTTATCATATGTATAGATTTTGGATGCTTTGGAGGCCAGCATGCATTTCGTGTGGTTGTGTCACTGGTTAATTAGCAGTATAGTAGTGTAGATGTTTGGGTTGCTGGTATACGGTGAGTCGAGAGATATGCAGAGTACTGGAGGAATTAGCGAATATGACAAAGTGGCTGCCGGGTGTAGCTAAACCCAGCCTTTTTGGATTCTTCCACAAGGGGCCCAGCTTTGGTCTTTGCTTTCGTTTCAACACCCCACCACTTTACTCAATTTTAATACTACCTCCATTCCTTAATACTCTTCCGGTCCTAATTATAAGACCCAATTGACTTATTTGAGGAAATTAAGGAAGTAAGTTAAGTTGGTTATTTATAATAAATAAGTGTTGTCATTCCTAAAATATCCTTGCTAATTAAGTATATTGGCTAAAACTATCATTATTAGAAGGATTATCTTGAAAAAAAATGCATAAATATAAGAGACAAAATGGATTGGGTCTTATAATTAGGACCAAATAAAAAGTCAAATTGGGTCTTATAATAAGGACCGGAGGAGTATAAAAATTAGTTGACTAATATAATTAGATTTAAAAAATTTGTTGAGTTAGTTACTTGTAATAAATAGGTTTTGTCTTCTATAGAATGTCCTTATTAATCATGTGTATTAGTTAGAACTATCAATTGATGATATATTCCTTCGGTCTTTAACATAAAACCTAGTTAACTAATTTGATTAGATTAAGAAAGTTATGTAAGTTAGTTAATTATAAGAAATATAATGTGTTTTTTTTTTCTAAAACACCATAATCATCTTTCTTAATATCCTTCCTCCCTCACTTACTTAAATATGGTTGAGAGAATATATCCATAGGAGTAATTTAGGAAAAAATTGATAAATATGATAAATAAATCTTATATTTATGACCAAAATTAACTTAACAATTAAGTCATATATTAAGGACTGGATGAGTATAGAACATGTGCAACTGCTGCAAAGATTACTTTAAGAAAAAAATAGATAAATATGAAACACAAAGTGGATTGGGGTCTTATATATATTTAAGATCAAATTAAAAGTCAAATTAACTCTTATATTAAGGATCGGAGTTACTAATCAACCTTTCCCTCCAGCTCCAACCATTATTTCATGTTTTTTTGGTTTTTCCTTTAAATTATGATTATAAATTGTTACGTCCACAAATGAAATCATGCTGCATCTAACAAACCAGTTCGCATGTGTGTTTGCTTATCTTATCTATAGATGTCAAAGAAATTCAAGTTGCCAACAGAATCTTTACCAACTTATCACTAAAATGTCACCAAGTGCCCAACATGACTCAGTACGTTATTGTTAACAGAAAGATGTCTTGGTAGTAGCGCTATCTTTCATGTTTGAATGAAATTTTAGACTTCACTATGATATTGATGATATGTGTTTGGGCGTGCATATTTATGAAATTAAAAAGCAAAGGGTTCGTTACTTCGTTGCCGTAATTACTGTGAATTTCTTGATTTCATACTCAGAACCTAAAAAATACGAAAGAATATTGAGGGTGGGAAGGCGGACAACGTGGCCCCAAAATAATCGCAATCCATTTTATTAGGTGAACCTAAATATGGTTGAGATTTATACCCAAAAACTACTGTTTGGGATGTAATAAGGCCCTGTCATGAAAGGCCCATTCAGGTGTGTTAGTGTGGTCTCGAACTGACCTGAAATTTGGTCTTACAATGAAAAATATATTTAAAAAAAAAAGCTAAAATATCCATATGTTGTTTTAGATTTATATCTATTTTCAATTTAGTCCCTTAAATTTGTAAAATATATTTTCAAACCCTTAATTTTAATATCATGAATCCTATTAATTGAAATTGCTAGCTCAATATATTTAAGATTAAGATAGTGAAAATACACTTTATGAACTTTTTTTTTCCACCTGGACATTTCATGAACTTAATGAACTAAATTAAAACTTGATTTAAATTTAAAGCACCAAATATATAGTTGAATATAAGAAACTGTGGGAGAACAAGCGCATTTCTCTAGCGTCAAGTCAAAAGGCTCTCTCCTCGTTGCTTATCATCATCATAGTGAACATAGCATAAACCTTCTGGGTTCATGATTTCATCTCTGAAGTGCCACAAGGAGAAGCAGCAAATTGGGAGAATGGGAGAGGGAAGCTAGGCTGCTGGTTTCATACATTTTGATTTTTTATGGTAAAGATTCGGTTTCATCGTCTTATGAGCTTAGATAACCCATCATCGACGCGTCATCAAACGCATAGATCCACCTTAATCCATAATTACTGGAACAACCCGCTGTTTTAAGGAATATTCTGTTCCCAGATTGCAGCTTCTCATACTCCTCAATGTTTCCAATGACGGACATATCATCCTTCCCCACCTTCATTTTTAATTCGTTCACGCCCACACAGAATAAGAAAAATTGTAACCCAATCATCTCCCAGCCGAAATAGCTTGTTTAGCGCAAAACCGCCTAAACCTTTAAAATAGTAGATAAAATACTTCAAAACATCTCTTCCCACTTGCCACTCAGCCTCACAATCTGGCTTCCCCGACATCGTGGGGAAATAGAAATCTTTTCATAAAATGTAGTGCATTTGCATTCATGTCCTCTTCGATTTATATTTCAGCCGGTGGGTTTAAAAGGACTTCCAGCCTTTAAATAAATGAGCTCTGAGCCAGCCCACAGCCTTTCGGCCAGTTTAAAAAAAATTCTATTTTTTATATTTCTCACATGTTTGATCAAAAAATAAAATAAACTAATAAAATTACTAGTAAAAGACATAAATGTAAATAAAATTAAGTCACAAATATAAAAGATCATCATATCTAAATATCCATCAACATACAAAAAATCCAAAACATCCATTAGACATAACAAGTCACTAACATTAACATCTAAAAAGTTTCATTAAAAGTATACAAACGCTTTCACTAAAAAAAGAAAAGAAAAGAACAAACACTATCATCACTATCATCAATTATAAGAATATTTGATTGTGCTTCACTAGTGATAGGCTCTTTTTTAAGTTCTAAAAATATCAATGATTTCTTCTCAATACTATTTAACTATTTTGGAGTCTAATATGTTTTCTTCTGTCTTTTTGAATTGAATTTTTTGCCCACCAGTAAGTTTATTTAAAGGTATCAATGTTAAATTTGTTTTAGAGTTTCAACTTAGCAACCACTAAGGATTGATTCTATGTTGTCTACTTATTACCTCCGGTCCTAATTATAAGACCTAATTTGTAGTCTACAAACAAGGTCTTATAATTAGGACTGAATGTAGTATTTTTTTTTCTCAGGCTTTAATTTTGAAAATCACTTTGCTGCACAGTCTTATAGGAAGTCTGAAATATCTTAGCACTTTGGATTGATTCATAGTATGTTTTTAATGAGCTAACTATGTTATCTTTTTTTTTTTTTGCTTTTGTTCAAGATGTTCTTCTTTAGTTTTATCTAGCTCGCTTGTCTAACTCTATTTATATAGAGAATAAAAATTTTGATATAGTCACTTTAGAAAAAGTGTTAACTTATTCATTAAAATTTTATAACATATATGCAAATTGATACATATCTGTTGGTTTAATCATTAAATTTTTTGTTCTAATATGGGGAATATATTTTATTTATTTTAATCTATAATTGTTGGTTTAGATAAATACAAATTTGAAATATGATTCAAGATATGAAGAATATATTTTTATTTATTTTAATATCATTAGAGGTGTGCACTAAGAGTGGATAAAAGACTGAAAGTGAAACTTAGAAAGGAAGGGTGTGTAAAATATTAGGAATTTAAGTTAGGATAAAAAAGATATAAATTTAAAAAAAAAAAAACTATTTGCAAGCTTAAATGGACCAACCTGTTTAACTTTCAGTTTTACATGACTGGCCCTTTTAAATCCAAAAGTCCATTAAAGACCCCAAATTACAAACCCGACTCTTAATTTAAACAAATTTAAACAAGCTGGCCTGGTAGGGTCAGCCCGTTTTGTGCAGGCTTTGGTCCATACTCCATCATATCCTAACCACCCTAGTTAGCTTCAATAATTACAAAATTTAGTCACTCCATCCCAAGCATAAATAAATTTTAGAAAAAATAAAAAATTTGTAAGCCATTCCATTGCAAGCATGAAAATACGCACACCACATCCTACCTCAATTCTCCCCCACTTACAGCTAATAGTGTTTGGTTTTCGCCATATCCAAACAGGCAAACACGCTCACTTCCGGGTAAACTTGGTCATCTTCCGGTTCACACCTCAAACTTCGTTGATATCAGACGGTGATTTTACCGACATGATATAACTTATTAACATGCAAGAGATAGTTGACTTACGAAACAGAACAATTGCACAAAAACTAATTTGAATGTACGGGTATCGTTAAAAAACTTCGCTCCTATCATTCTTCGTATACAGACAGACTCTTCATGTACAACTCGTTTGCCCCGACAACACAGAAAAATTATCGAACTCGGCCTCTCATCTTCACGATCATATGCTGTGCAGACCTCCTACGTCCTTGCCAAGCTGGCTTAGCAAGCGCGTGCCTCAGAAACTAGCAACCGCCTGACTGCTGGGACACTGCTACCAGAAACTTTAAGGGACGCAAACAGGCAAGATAATCTTGCTATCATGGGCTTGGTCCTTGGCACTTTAGCAACGACAGCCAACTGCATACCAGCATCGCATGCGTTGTGGTAACCCTCAAGGTCAGCTTGGGTTATAAGAACTGCGTCCCTAGAGGGAGAGTATGGCGTAGGAGTAGGCCTGGCAATACAAGGAGAAGGTTGGCATTTGCTGTAGTTTTGAACAACCTGCTCATTAAATTAGAATCTTAGTTAAAGTATTAAAATAAGTTGACAAATCGAGTTAAAATAGTAAAATAAATTAACAAATCATGTTAACCTTCCACTGTGATGGTGCTAGCAGCACCCTAGGTCTGCGAGAACGCACATAATCCAGGGCAGCTGCGGGTGTCATGTGCTTATATTCAACCTACAAATTAGAAATAGACCATCAGGGAACCCGCCAGCACCTTAAAGTTTCAGCTGATGCCACGGGCGTAATAAGCATGGGAAACAAATATTACCAAGTAACAAAGAACAATCGTCGTGCTCCTTCCTCGACCGGCTTTGCAATGGACATAAGTAGTTTTACCGCAACATGCATTTTCTGCACCAAAATAAAGATAGTAAGAGGGAACAAAAGCAAATTTTCCAGCTAAAAAGCCACAATGATATGCGCAATCATGTATCCTTTCAAAGAAGAGAAAATACTCACCATGAATGAATTTCACGGCACGGCTAATATCCTCTAGTGAAGGGGCAAAGAGATAATCCCTTGTAGGAATCATTAAATGATCAATCTCATGAGCCTAAAATGCATCAAACAAATAAACCAAAAACATGAGAAATAGTATTTAAAAACAATTAAACCAATACAATGCAAAACAACGAAAATATTGTCCTTGACTTGTAATTCATGTCCATACAAAAACATGATCCACATCGGACATAGAGACTACGACCCTTACCCAGTAAAAAGGCTTTTTCATAGAACAATAGTAAAAATGATGGAGTTTGCAGAGAAATGGTCCGCACTTACACGATACAATGATGATGGAACCAACGTTTCATAAGGTTCATTCAGAGTAATTACACCACCCACACCAAGCTTCTTCAAGCGAGGAACATCTTTAGGAAATGGAACAGCACCCAATAATAAAAACTGGTAAGAAAGAAAGAACAAAAATGATTAGAACGGCCCCCATTGTTTCAACATAAGCTGAAGCCACCACAGAGAAGCACCTATAAGTGACTCCCAAAGAATACATTAAAATGATAGGCATCAGAGTATGGCTATCAACCAGAGGTATAGGCTAGTTATGCAAGATCCCGGTTTTCTAGCCCCCTATCGGGAACAAAATTCCGAAACCAAGAATTCATTATCAATGACCACTCTCAGCAAAGTATCTATTATCAATAGAGACCACAACATACAGTTTAACATAAATTTTGGTTGCACAGCATCAATAGAAATGACAGGGCATCGCTGCGTAACAACAATCAATTCAATTTCCCGGGGGAAAAAAGTAAAAATAAACAGTAACATTTAAATCTCATGAGTGCATCCGGCCTATTCCCTCCAGGGAGGGAAACATAAAATCAACTATGCTATAGCTAAAGTCTAAAGCAACAGTAGGTGAATAAATCCATCATGGAATAAATAGATAGTGAGAGCAAAACCTCATCGACTTGATCCCACCACCTGAACTCGGCTTCAATCTTGTTCCGAAGTACATTATACAAAAGAGTCGGGTAAAACAAGATCCGAGCACCTGCTCCAACTAACGCTCTCTTTGCGTCAACCCTCACAATCTGATTCTCATTACTCCCTTCGTCCCTAGTGGAATCAACATTGTCCAGTTGCTCAATCTTCATCCCAGAAAGCGAATTCAAAAACCCTAAACCAACAGCGATAAATTTCCAAATCCCAAACACAAAAGTCAGCTAAAGCCAAAATTCAAAGGGAAAAACAACTTACCACTCCGTGTGAAATTAAAGAAACCGAACAATCAAAAATTGAGGAAAATTTTAGCAAGATCGAGAGAAGGAACTAGAAATTCGGCATTCGAAGTCGGGAAGCCAAAAGCAGGGAATCAAGGGAAACGAGTGACTACAGAATCATGATAAGGTGATGAATTCTGACAAGAGAGAGAGAGATTACAGGCGGCCAATGTAATTGCGGCAGGATCGGGATTATGGGGTGAAGTACGAATACGAAATAAAATTGGAAACTGCATATGCATAGTAAGCAGAGTATTCTCAATGACTGAATGTGAATGAAATGGCCTTAGGATTTATCGCTGAAAGACACGTCAATAAAGGAAAGATGAAATTACATTTTAAGTCCCAAGCTCGGAAATCATAAGAGCCCAAATAAAAAAAGAAAATTATAATGAGGTCTTAAAAAAATAAAAAAATTGAGAAGTTATTATTTCTTAGTAGAAAGCTTATTATTAAAAGTTTTTTAAACTATTATTGAAACTTTTCTATAATTATTTTTGGGATTTCGTGATAATTCTCCCTAAAAAAAAAGAAAGAATACTCCTACTATTTTTAAGTTTCAAAATTTAAAAGGAGGTGTAACCCATTTTAGAAATTTTAATTTAGATTGTCTTAATATTTAATACTCTTCTGATTCTTAATATAAAACCTAATTATTAAGTTAATTTTAGTCTTAAATATTAATCATATTTCTTATATTTAATCAATTTTTTTCTAAATTACCCCTATATATATTTCTTCAATCATAATCAAGTAAGTGAGGAATGAATGATATTAAGAAAGATGATTATAGTGTTTTAGTAAAAACATGTCATATTTTTTATAATTAACTAACTTACCTAACTCCTTTAATTTAATCAAATTAGTTAAATAAGTCTTATATTAAGGATCGAAAGAGTGCATTTTTTTAATTTTATTCTTAATTATTTACTATAATTTCTCTCATCATATTTTCTAGCACATTTTCTTTTACTCTTTTTCTCATTTATTATAAGGACATATTTAAAAATAAAAATATATTTCTAACCTACTTATTATTATTTTAATTAATTTTAAATAATATTTTTTGTTTATATAATTTTAAATAATTTTTTTTAATCTAAACCTATGATAGGAACCCGGAAGGATATAATAAAAAAGTTTCTTCACCTTGCTAATTTTTGGGAAAATTGCATAAAAAGGTTTAATTGCAAATCAGCTCCAATAGATAGATAGAATAGCTGAATTGAGTCCGCAGACCGGCGATTAAATGACAATATCCAAACTAAATGACCAAATTACCCCTGATATGAAAGTTTATGATTTGGATTTGAAAGTTATTGTCATTTAAGTCCCTTGATCTTGCCCTCAACATTTGGTTCATTTCTATAATTGGGATTGCGATTTTCTCATATTTTATATTTTTTCTGGGAAAATTTTTTCTTAAAATTAAATTTTTAGTATTATGTAATTACTTTAAAATTAGCCAGAGACTTTTTAAAAACTCTCATAATATGGTATTAAAAAATCCCTGGGTATATTAGTATTTTTGTCATGGGATTAGATTAAATCCCATATATTTTGTACGGGAGAATACAAACTAGGTATCAATTTAAAATATTGTGACAGGTTGTGCCCAGAAAAAGAATCTTATAATAGGTTATGATATGTGGTGGGAGGAGGGATCGGTTGCAAATTTATGAATGTATCAAGGAAGGACTGGTAAATAAATACGGGAAGTGTCAAAATTGGAAACAACCTTAATTAATTTGAAAGGGATATGACATGAGATGATGATCTTATCTAATTCCAAGGAAGATGGACGCCGGAGGCCAATATAGATTGTTGATTGGAATGGGAAAGTTGACAGTCGAAACTTAGGAGGGAAGCAAAGGCAATGTGTCGCAAAGAAAGCACCGACCTTTGAAGGATGAAACATAAATGGGCCAACAATTAAAGCCACTTTATGTCAATCTACAGATCGTGAGTGGGCCACAACACCCCTAAGCCCATCGCCAAAATATAATTATAACTTAAAAATAAAATTTTTGGTAACCTATAAAATGTATGATAGGTTACCAACGGGGTTTGGTCCGAGTGGTAAGTAGTTTGGTTTCACTTAAGTGAGGTTTCGAGTTGGATTACTCATGGATGCAGAAAACTCCCGCTGGGAGACTCATCCACCATACCCAGGTGCGCAATGCGGGTCGGATCCGGACGTGGTCAGGACAAAGCTCTAGTAAACCGGGTGAGGAACCAAAAAAAAAAGTATGATAGGTTATTGTTTTTTTTCCTACCTATCTTCTATGGAGCTATTTTTTTAAAATATATATTTTAACTTAATTTCTCCTTATATTTTTATTTCCAATTTTTCTTTTTTCTCCCTCATAAATATCTAATTTGAAACAAAATTCATATTGGAAAATTCAAATTGATAAATTTCTCGTATGCAAATGTTTAAATGAAGAAGATAATCTTGTTGAGACCTAATTTAAAGAATGCTCAGAGCACAAAGTCCATAACAACCCCGTATTGTCAACCAGAGTGAACTATTATTTCTTGTTTCAAGAGATACCTACCTTTTCGACTTCTTTACCAAAAACAAAAAAAAAATACCAAACTTGTTAAGGTCAAAATACAATCAAAAAACTTAAAAAGGACATTTGATATGCCATCAGGATGGGTAATATACAAGCAGCAAAAGTATCTATGAAATATTTCTCCATATATATAAATATATATATGTATGTGTGTGTATATATATTTCTTTTTTCCCAGAATATATATCTATATGTCTATCATCGTAAAGCTCACGTAAACATAAGAGTACATTCAAACCTTTTAAAATAGACCAAAACTCCAATATTCGTTAACTGTATCTATTGCAGGAAAAGGACAAAAAAACTACTGACCGCTATTAAAGATGGGAGTTTTGTTTATTTTAAAATATTCATGTGTGCTTAGGCACACTTTATGCGCATGAGATATACTTCATGAGTAGTCTTACACCTTACAAGTTACAACTAATCCAGTACTGGCTTCTTGTATTGGTCAGCGACGGTCACTTTAATCCTAGAAAACAACATGGAAGGTTTTTTGCCAAGTTTGGGTGCATAGCCTCAATAGCTGCAGCAGATTGTGGGATTGCTTAGTCAAGCAAGTTCATCATATTTCCCCTTTTGCCGCAATATGTCACATTCATAACTCCACTTGACATTATTGGAACATAATAATGTGCTTCTATTGGAGCCTTAATTTTTTTCTTCAACGAAGATTTACACTGGTTCAAGAGATAAATACCTAACCCATCCATATACATTCACACTTCACCTCTTCCAGTCTCTCCTCCTACGCATTTGTGGGGGTTGGTGGCTACCACTACTCGTTTTAAAATATACTACTACTGTGTTTTTGGTGGCTAATACCAGTCGAATTGAAGAAGAGGAATCTTTTTTCGTATTCTATTAGTATTTTTCCTTATCTTTTTGTGAATTGGAACAGGGATATTCATGTCCGTCCATGAAACTTGGAATCCGAGTGCTTCCCAATATACAGTCGTCAAAATGGTGCGGCTCTGCTTTTCTTGGCCCTAATGATTGATTTTGGGAGCATGCTCTCATCATTTAGGTAATAAAGGAATTGAACACTGACTTTTTTGTTCTGCTTTGAGACTGCGGCATTACACGGGACTCCACAAAAATCTCATCTTTAAGCCAAAAAGGGACTGAGAATACCAAATAGTGTTGAAATGGGGTGTGTTGTTTTGGGAAAAACAGAGCGTTTCTGCATTTGAAGCAGAGTAATGGCTCCCTGCCTGCTGGTCAAACCATCTTCTTCTTCTTCTTCTTCGCCACGTTCTTTCTTCTTCAATGCATATACATCAGTTAGGAAATGTTTGAATAGACTGTTAACCGTTTCTTTCACAGACCCATCTTCTTCTTTGCATTTCTGGCCAGCCGGTGGACCCGCCATTCGTAATCATTAGCTACTAGCTACTTTTTTGTTTTCATTTATTCATAATTGAATTCCACTGCCAGCTTCATAAACACTACCCCGTTTTCTCATTTTTCGTTATTCCTCTTGTTAGTATTTGCTGAGATTTCTGGCTCGTGAGATTTCATCTCTTTTAAGGGTACCAGATTTCAAAAGACCTAGGTGTCCATTATGATCTGGACCCCAAAAAAGGAAGCCGATTACTAACGCTCGTTTGTCAATACACACTCAACATTGCACGTGTATGTATGTATACACACACAACACACATCTGAGTGATTAACGATATGGGCTCGGAGAGTTGGATCATCTGTCGAGCAACGCAAAGCATGTACTTGTTCTATGAATCAAGTTAAAAAATAAAAAATAAAATTGTCCCCTTTTAAGGGTTTATAGGCATTAAGTTGCTGTCAGCAATGTGGTTGATGATTTGATTATTCCAACCACCCAGAGTTTTACGGGTTTGCGAGGTGAAAGTATAACCTTTTACCGTTAACCCTGTTTTATACTGCCTCTAATTCTAATATAAGATTTTATTTATAGATTACGAACGAGGTGATAGAATTAGAATTGAAGGTAATATATCAATCTATCTTCAAACGACGCATAAATGATGGACACCTGTTGTATAATCTGCGTTTCGCTCCCCGTCCCTGTCTTTTCATTCATAGACGACATGCTAGGCTTGACATTAAATGAAAAAAGTAATGTGATCAGCAGCCCCACCTACTTTTTACTCATTTTATCAGAACCTTGTTGATAATTAATTACTTGTCAATGTTGGCAAAAAAAAAAAAAAAAACTTGTCAATAATTAATACTATATCGTCTTATCTAATTGAGTGCGCATTTTATTTAATTGGACAATAACACAGCGTAAATGAAACGGGTTTACGACCACTAATGAAACATACAGAAGTCAACAACTTTACAGAAAAGACATATGTGTGCGTGTGTGTTTGCATAGCCATCGAGGATAGAGCTGTACTGCTGTAGGCTGTAGCCCAAAAGCCTATAAACTGGTGGTCGCGTATAGTGTTTGTAATTAAGTTCACATCACTCATTGTTTCAATAATATCCAAGCTTTTAATTGCACAACGGGTATAATGGAGTCAAGAATTTCTGGCAAGGCCAATTAAACCCCACCAGTACACTGCTCTGTTTCTCTTTAATGCTGCTTCGAGCTTATTTGGACAATCTTACAGGGGACACCATCAAGTAAGCGTCTTGGTCTTCTAAGCTCAGAATGGGGAAGGCTTGGATGATCCTGGCTTTTGATCTCCTCCTCCTTCTCCACCTTAACCTTCATCTCGATGCAGCAAGAGCAGCCTTTGGCGTCGGCGGCGGCATTGGCGTTGGTGTAGGTGTTGGTGGCGGCGGCGGCGGGGGAGTAGTTTGGGTCGGCGGTGGCGGGAATGGCGGTTCTCCGGGGTCTTCTCCAGTGCCGAAGCAGGACAAAGCTTACATGGCTCTGCAGGCATGGAAAGCCGCGATAACGGAGGACCCATTGAGGATTCTGGAGAGTTGGAATGGTTCTAACGTGTGTTCTTACAAAGGGGTGTTTTGTGCCAATCCTGAGGATGCATCAGGTGGGCCTGTGGTCGCCGGAATAGATCTCAACCACGCGAATCTCAGAGGAAGTCTTGTGAAAGAGCTCTCTTTGCTCACTGAAATGTCTCTTCTTCACCTCAACAGCAATAGATTTACAGGTACAGTTCCTGATACTTTCAGAGACCTCTCGGCTCTTGAAGAGTTAGACCTCAGCAACAACCAGCTCTCTGGTCCTTTCCCCACGGTGACCTTGTCAATGCCCAGTCTGGTTTACTTGGACATCCGATTCAACTCTTTATCTGGACCACTCCCTGATGATGTTTTCAACAAGAATCTGGATGCCATTTTTCTCAACAACAATCAATTTGAAGGCGAAATCCCCCAAAATCTGGGCAATTCACCTGCTTCGGTCATAAATTTAGCAAACAACAAGTTCAGTGGGGACATCCCAGCGAGTTTTGGCTTCATGGGTTCTAAGCTAAAGGAGATTCTCTTCCTCAATAACCAGTTAACAGGGTGCATTCCTGAAGGGGTTGGGATCTTCACACAGATGCAAGTTCTGGATGTGAGCTACAATTCATTAATGGGTCATTTGCCAGATACAATATCTTGTTTGCAAGACATTGAAGTTCTCAATTTGGCGCACAACAAGCTTTCTGGAGAAGTATCGGACGTGATCTGCTCACTGAGGAACCTGTTGAATCTAACGGTTGCTTATAATTTCTTTTCTGGGTTCAGCCAGGGATGCTCAAGGCTTTCCGTTAGGAATGTGGGTTTTGATTTCTCAGATAATTGCATTCCTGGGAGGGACATGCAGAGACCTCAGCCAGAGTGTTCTGTGATCCCAGGCGGTGGCTTGAATTGTCTCAGAATCCCAACTCCGAAGCTTGTTTGTGGTTCGCTTGGTGTAAGTCTGTCTAAGCGCGATCATCCAACTCCATCTTCTTCTTCGCCTTGATATTTATTTCACCACATGGTTACAGGTTGGCCATGGCAGTTCTGTTAATTAATGCTAGCAATTATGATTCGACCTTGCTAATTTAATTCTTCGTGGATCCGTTATATCTGTTAGCTAATTTACTTGGCCTGCACGGATAAAGATATGTCTCGAAATAGAAGGAAACGGATTTGCGAGACTTTTAATATATAATTGACCACCATATTAATAATAATACTACTCTACTTGTGTGATTGACATGCAGGACAATTTATGTGTCACGTGACATGCTTGTTTGTTATAGCTACTAATAGTATCACGGGTTCTTTATAGAATGTGCCCCCAGACTCTTTTCTTTCCCACACAAATCCACAGTAAATGAGCCCCCTCTTGCCTGTTCCTTGTCGATACTGAAACTCGACAGCTACGTTAATGCTTTAGATTACAAGACCAAATCACTGGGTTGTTCAAATTACACGGATTAGTTCACCTGCCACGGATTGCCCCCGAAATCATAAAATGCCGTGAACTATACAGGAGAGCTAAAGAATTGTTATTGCAGGGCATATAATATAGCAACTAGCAAGATCACTTAATGTCAACTCTTGTGGGTAACCGGCATGGTATGGTTTTGCAGTACAATATTACAGAAATGGGGGTGTGTCAAAGAATAAAATACATTGGATTGGGGAGTTTAAATGAGCGTGTGGCCACAGCATAACCCAATAAATCACTCCACTGATCTCCTGAGCTCCCATGAATTATGTAACCCTCGTCAACCAACTCTTGTCTCTTCTCTGATTTGTAAATCGTGGCTGGTTTTCCTTGGTCCAATTCGCCTCTGTTTCATAACCAAGAACATCACAAATTTACAGGCGGTGTATAAACTTTCAGAAAATGACACTTCTTAGTCGATATGAAGCAAATGAACTGAGATTTGTGTACCTCAAGATAAGCCTCTCCCAGTTGCTGTATCCTGAAAATAGAAGGTTTGCTTCTGTGGCCTCCCTTTGGTATTCACTTCTCCCAGTCAGAAGAAATATCTTGAACCCCAATTGCTGTAGCTCCTTGTACAATCTCAAACTGGCTGGTAGAGCTGGAGCCTTAGCTACACTCACCCATTCATCAAACGACGTCTCATTGAATATATCTGACCTGTGTTTCAAACAATATTACCATCGCCCATATAACCAAACAAAACTGCTGTGCGTTAGGCAAATAGACAGTTAAATTTCAGATTTTACCTTTTCTCAGGGATCTTAGATATTACTACTTCCGGTTCTAATTATAAGACTTTGTTTGTAATCTACAAACGAGAATTACAAACAAGGTTTTATAATTAAGATTGGATATAATATTGATTTGGCAACGAATCATTCGGATAAGTAAGAATGTGATACTACAGAGTAGATGAAAAATGTTCATGTGTCTAACAGTAAAAGTTTCGCAGGGAAAATTGTGGGTAAACTCAGCGGTTTCTTTCTTTCACTCGTAACTTTCTAAACTGGTGATGCACATGACGTGGGTAACAACAAAAGAGAAAAGAAAACGACTATTCCACTAACAAACACATAACTAGGAACAAAATTCCAGCTGTCTGTTGCCTTTTTTCTTTTCTGGTTAGCGCTTAACAAGCTAAGCATGTGATCAAATCCATACGACAACTTCAACAACCACATTTTAAACCCACGGAAATGTAATCAATCAATCATTTATATATTGATACGATGAATGTCCCCCAATTGGACGTTTTGGTTATTTGCAAGTCACATGCACGCACGGACCGAAAAGTACTTGCATATTTTTTTCTGGGCCAGCAATAGCAAAGTGCTTCTATCGGAAAAGAAAAATTAAACCAAACATTTAAACATTTAAAAAAATTACTGCGATTTTCAGAGATCGAATTTTCGAAGAAAAACGAAATTTTATTATTAAATTTTTAAATAAATCATAAATTTGCTTATAATAAATATATAAAACTCAACCAGTAATTTTAATTCTTAAAAAGTAATTATAATCTTCAAACTCTTAACCTCAACTATAGAGGATGCGATTAGGTAAAATTGGAATGGCTTGAAATGAGTACGACTAACCCGAATCCATGGTTCTCGTAGTAAGGCAAATTGGATAGAAGAGTCTCGTCGACGTCGAATACCCACGCGTCTCTTCTGTCTCCCCCTAACTTCACATTATTCGCAAACGCCGATGAGAAGCTCGCGATTATATCTGAGTCCGACCGATAACGCTCGCCGGTCATATAATCCTCCACGAACCGTGTGCACCTTTCCGGAATTTGTTCCCATATTCCGGCGTTGTTGGTTTCTACGGAGAGTCTCCAGCTGTCGCAGTACAAACGATCGTCCACCCTAACCTTCCGATTGCCGAACAAGGCTCCTTCAGACGGGATTTTGATCAATGATTCGGAAGAGATCGCCGGGACAAGACTCATCGTTGAGAAGACTAGCATGAACAGCAGACCAGAAGCCATGGCTGGAGTAGAGAGGAAGCTTATGGAACTGGAACTGACTTCCGGGTTTTCTTTTCTCGCTTTTGTTCCTCTGGTCAGATTAGAAAAGTATTGGCGGAGAGAGTCAGGTTGCCCGGCCGTAGGCACTAGCTGGCTGGATCAAAATGGAAAATTAAACGTGGCCAGGATGGCGTGTAAATATTAAAAAAACAAAATAGTCTAATTTAAAATTATAATGCTTAAAAGCTAAAATGCTTTTTTTCTAATTTGAAGAGCAGCCTTGGAGTGTTTGGAAACACTCATGAGCATATTCTAAAAAAAAAAAAAAAACTTTTATATAGTTGGAGACAAAATTTGTCCTTCATTCTTGTCTCATAATATATAAATTCGTATATGAACATCATCTTCTCTAAATTTAGTGTGTATTTGATCTTACATGGGAAATAATCAAAATTATAATTCTGATATATTTTCGTTCAAATCACGATGTTGATAATTTTTAATGTAAACTCAGACACACACACACACAACTGCTACTAGTATAAAAATAAAAAAAACATTTGTCCACATTACCCTGGCAAGCGGGGAGATGATTATGCATTTGGCCCTATATTGTGTAGAGCTGGGAATGCGGGCTGGCGGTACGGATACGGGCCAGCCCGCAGCGGTGCGGGCCAAAAGCGATGCGGGCTGAAGTAGCCCGCACTTTATGCCAGCCCGAGCCCGCCTAACTTTTTTTAAAAAAAAAAAAATTATTACTTGTATAAGTTTGGACTTAGTTTGTAATGTTAAAATTGGATTTGGAGTTTTAAACTTGAGTAATGAGTTATAATAAAATAATGTGAGGATTAATTTATAATTTGAGAAGATATTTTAGAAAAACTAACACATTTTTTTCTAAATAATTAATTTGACTATTTTTCTTATCCAAATTAATTAAGTAGATCTTTTATGTATGTATTACATATGCAATTACATGGATGAGAAGATGTAAATATGAAATTTGGGGGTTAAAATCCTCCAATTATGTTGTATAACATATTAGAAATTATATAAAAATTAAAATTTAAAAAAAAAAAAAAAGCGGGCTAGCCCGCCAACTGGCGGGCTAGCCCGCGGCGGAGCGGGTTGGAGTAGCCCGCACCTTGGCGGGCTGGCATTTTGCCAACCCGAGCCCGCCATTTTTGGCGGGTTGGCGGGCTGGGCCCGCGGACCCAACCCGTATTACCAGCTCTAATGTTGTGTATGATGTTGAATTTGGTTCTTAAAGGCTTAGTTTTCACACTCCACATCCTGTCGTTGATGTTTAAAAAAAAATCAGAGCGTCGTTGCTTTTCAAGAGCTTTCGTGCAATATAAATCAAAGCAGTCCTGGTTAAGCTCTTCAAGTACTGTCCATGAGGGCACAATCGGGGTTGGGACTTTTATTTTTATTTTTTTGGTACAGTTTAGACTATTGTTTTTATTAGGCAATCCATACTATTGAACACAAAATATGGACACCTACCACAATGAAAATTTTAATATTGATTCGTCACGTCATGAAAAACTAGCATTTTTTGTTAAATCCAATTCTATTAGTTGAAATTTTTATTTTGGTTAAAGTATGCATTTAGTCCTTTAACTTTGTACAAGGTTTTAATTTGATCATTTAAATTTAAAAAATATACTTTTGATCCTTTAATCCTAAATTTTTTTAAAAAAATAATGATATTAAGATCTTAAATGTTGATAAAATATTCTTAAATGTTAACATATTAAGTTTAATTTTCAAAATATCCATGATTGTTACAAAAAAAACAATCAATGAAGCATAATAATTTTAGGATTAAAGAACCAAATGTATGCTTTTTAAAATTAAAAGATCAATTTAAAATCTTGTACAAAGTTAAAAGATCAAATGTATATTTTAGTTTTTTATTTTTAACAAAGTATTTTCTTGCAGTCACATTCTCTGCTGTGATTGTCCCATTTATGCTGGGCCTTACCAGGGCCTACCTTGGGCCATAGTTGAATTCATGCGGCAGAGGAAGTTGCAGTGTGCATGTAACTATGTCGAAGTGGAACAGGCGTTAGCCAGTTCATTAGATGAGCCCTAACCTCACACAATTGTGAACATTATCTGAATATCCATACATAATATCACCTCTGATCCTTAATATAAAAATTAAATAATTAGTTTTAAAAATTTTAAAAATTAGTTAAGTTAGTTATGTATAACAAATGTGTATTGATTTTTCTAAATTAACCTTTATTCAGTCATGTACACTAAAATTACACCTGGGTGAAAATGCCTTACAATCAATAAAAATATTTTTAAAGACATATTATAAATTTGAGAAAAAAGTAGATTAATATTTTATATTTATGACTCCCAACTAACTTTTATATTTAAAATTAGGGGTAGTATACAAATTTTACTATATCCATGCTAGTTGTATTTAAGTGCCGACCTCCTAAGCCTTATGGTTGGTAGGACAAAATTCTAAGAAATAGAAAAATTTTAATGCGATGGGTTTAAAAAATTAGAAAAATTGGATTATAAAATTTTGATGAAAATGAAATGTAAAATAAAAGAGTAAGAAAAATTAATCCTTTTAATTTAATTTTTTTCAGTTTTTTAAATTGAACCTATTAAAATTTTTATTTTCCTCCTTTTCGTTTCCCCCTAACCAAACGGACCAAAAAATCATGAATGACACATACTAATCATTTGTAAGCGGTAGACAAGCTCCAGCCCACTGCCAGACCAACCTTATCGTATTGCGGCAAATTTGATTGGGGTGAAATAAAAGTCTGGTTTTATAGAATACGAATAAGCTCATAAATTATGCAATTTACATGGATAAAGTCTCAAACAACAATGACACAATAAAATAAAGCTTAAAGGACACTTTTAGTCATCTTACTTTACACAAATTTTTAATTTAGTCCTTTAACTCTAAAATTTTTAACAAAAAATACTTATATTAAAATTTTGAGTGTTGATAAGACATTATCAAATGTTAACATATTAGGTTTAAATTTCAAAATAGCTATGATTGTTACAAAAAATTATCAATTAAGAATAACAATTTTAGAGTAAAAGAACTAAAAATATACTCTTCCGATTCTAAATGTAAAACTCATTTTGCAATGTAAATTATACTATAAAATAGATTTTATATTTAGGATTGAAAAATACTTTTTAAAATTATGGAACTAGAATAAAACTTTATATAAAAATAAAAGATCAAATATACATTCAAGCCTAAAATAAATATTAACGAGTTGTCTTTCGCCGCATAATACTGAGCCTTGTTCCATTCTTATATATTAAGAAATTACATTTAAAAGTTAAAAAACAAAAGAAAAGACAATTTGAGCCTACCCAGGCTTTTTGCGGGTCTAAATGGGCTAGTCCCTCCGTCTGAGCCCAAACTACAAGCCATAATTCTACATAATTTAAGATAGATATTCTTTCATTTTATAGTGTAAATTGCATTACAAAATGGGTTTTATATTTAGAAGCAGAGGAGTACATTAGAAAATGGATTTCAAGAGACCTGCATCTAGAGGTGTTCAATTTGTCCCGTCCCGGCTCCGGTGAATTCGGGACGGGATGGGACGGGACGGGACAAAAAAAATTTCGGGACGGGACGCGGGACGGGGTTGTCCCATCCCGTCCCGTCCCAAGGTATTTTTTTTAAAAAAATTATTTATTAATAATTATTATTAGATTATTTAATTTACTTATTAATAATAATAATTATTTTTATAGTGATTTTTAGTTCTTAAGTTGTAGTATTATCTCAACAATATCTCCTTCCTCAATAAAATAATTCATAAAGCCATTATATAGTGTTTCTTTTACTGTATTTTTTTTTACAGTATTGTTTTTACACTTTTTTTGTACTATATAATTAAGCTTTCTACATAATATTTTTATAATGTTTTTCTCTTTAGAAGCCCAATAAAAAATAAACATGATAACATAAAAAAATTCATATGAAAAATTATAATTTTTTTTTAAAAAAACGGGGGGAACGGGACTTCCCGTCCCGTCTCGACAGGACCAAGACCGGGACCGAACCAGGACGGGACGGGACACAGGACTAAAACCCTGTCCCGTCCCGTGAACACCCCTACCTGCATCAACCTGCAAGAAATTCAAACTCGACCATGGATGGTATGCACATGGAATGAGCCTTTGAATTATCTAGATCAAATATCCAGCCATAAATAAATACATATAAATAAACATTTGCATTCAATCTGTCTGTACAGTTCAAATCTCGAGTTTAGATTTATACATCCGAGTATGGAACAATGCTGCGACATCACCCTCCTACTCTGTGAGTCGCTGCTGAGAAAACCCCCCACCAGAAGATAAGCTTTACGGCACACACCATTACAAAATCAAAACCAGCAACACTTTGTGACTCTTGGAAGTTGGAAGCAGCAGATTCGCAGAAAGCTAATCCTAGAAACCAACCTTCATTAGCCAGGGAAGCCGCATTCCCCGGATCACATGAAGGCAAAAATGAAAGACAGAGACCAAAAAGAAAGAAAGAATGAATCAAGAATGTTCAAGATATATAAATACCAGAGACAAAATCATCGTTTGAAAGAATGATGATGAGAAGGAAAAACTGGGTTGTACGTTGATTAGCATAGAGATGAGGTTATGGAAACGAATCATGATCAACATGGCAAAGCTCCTTCCGAAGTTTATGGGAGAAGAGCCTGCAAGCATCCATGCTGAGATCAATGGCGGCAGAGAGGGCGATGAAGAGAGCAGCATCAGGCATGCACGTCACGTGCTGTGCTCCCACCTGTACAACCGGTTTGCTCACTTTGCCTTCACCCGCCACCGTCGAACCCATCACGAACCCTTTTCCGGCCAACCTCGAACCCAACCCAGAATCCTTCATCGCTCTGTAATCAATGCAGAATTGACCTCCTCTTTTCACGTTCATCGTAGCTTCAGCCAGGGGGATCCCACTCGCAGGTCCATTCTCGGTCACCAGCTCGAACTTGTACCCTAACCCATCTGTGGGACCTCTTTCCCGCCACGCTTCCAGGCGGCCCCACGGTTTCCAGCTGCTCACGGAGGCGCCGTTGGGCCGGAGAATGAGCCAGGCGCCGGGGTTCGACCGGGAAACACGGTCCGAACCAGGTGAAGGGACGAAGGGAGTGATCATGGAGGCTGCCGCCACCGGGGAGCCCGAGAGATCGTGTATTATTACCATCCAACCTTTCCTCTCTCTCCCTTGCCGATCTTTATCACCGGTAAATGTCCTCCTCCATTTGCTTGCGTGGTTGGTAAAATCCGATGGAAGAGACCTCGATTGAAAAAAACAACAGGACAATAATTTAATTATCAATTCTTTTTTTTTTGGCCAACAATTATCAATTCAATAAAAATATAACAACTTGATTAAGATGTCAAACGTGCCAGGATAATTAAGCAAATGAGAAGAGATTCGAGAGTACAACCAGATACGAGCACATGGCAGGGAATCAGAGGTAGTTATGTTTCACAGTTTGGAAGATCTCAAACTGTCTGTTTGACTACATTATTAAAACCGGGCGCGCAGCCTAGGATCACTCGCATGATGTTATTTTAGCTCAGTACGTAGGAGGGATTGACTTCATTTGCTAGAGGAATCAAGATAGAAAAAGGAATATATATATGTGTGTGTGTGTGTGTATGTGGTAAAATAATAAAGTGAAGGAATAGAATGCACTTTGATTCTCACAGTTCTAAAATGGTTAAGGACAAGCATCGGACTAATTCATTCCCATATGAATTGTTTTCTTGATATAAAAGAAAAAAAATATTAAGCAACTAAACGATATTAGGGACTTTAATTATAGATGAGCTAAATTTACGGTCGATTATGTTTTATGTTCAGGAAGCAGAAAGTCTGCACCAAATCGTTTCATTTACGATTGTCTTTTTCGTAATCCATAAGTTAATAACATTTCAACGTACACCTTTAAAAAAATTTTAACAACCCGAAAAAGAAAAGAGCTAATAAAGACAAGGTAGATGAAGCAGCACTGAAAAACACGAAAATTCCGAAACTGCCATATAAGAAGTATTCAGGAACAGGGAAATAAGGTGACGACAAAAGGCTATCTGAATGATGAGATTGCAACGTTGGAGTCCAGTCTGTGAAACTGGACATCACAATCCGATGAAATTATCGTGGCAGCACTGGCAGCTTTCATGGATCCAAACAAGAAAAAGAATGAATAAAAGCTGACGACATGCTCCTCCCAATAATCGCAAAAAGGGGATAACAACGAAGCAATGAAAGTAACATGAAATGATGTTGTACAAAGATGAATTCCCCTGTCTTGGCATGTGATGATGGTTGGTACCAGCTAAAGATATAGACAAGCCAGCCCACATGCCTAGTCCCTCACCTTCATTCCTTAGTCACCCCCTACCTTATTGCCATTTCTATGTCCCACCACTAAATTCATCTTCCTCCCTCAAAACAAACTAATTAACAAACACATGTACGGCTCCCCGATAGGAAACAATTTCGAAGTCTGATGAGATATGCGCGTGACGACATGGATTCAAGTGTGACCACAATATGTAACAATCTAATCTGATTCCGTATGAAAAGTATGTAACGCAGCGGTAAATTTTGGGGAATACTAAGAAATGAGGGCGTACCGTGATCTGGAATTTCGATCCGCACTGAACTTGCAGCTCAGAACGGGTTGTCTGATATTCCCCTGAATCTGGAAAACCACGGGGCTGCACTCCGGTTCGCCGCCAAACTGGAAGACGAAGCGGGGGTCGGGTTCGGACCGGACTACGAGGTGGAGCTGGGCCGATGGCTTGAGTGGTTCGTTCTTCCCGAGCTGGAGCCAACCATTGTGGAAGGTGTGAGGGCGAGACAGAGCATCGGATAGGTCAATGCTCACAAAAACACGGCCAAGTAACCTGGAGCCGCTCACGCCGCAGGTGTGACCCATCCGGCCGGCGTAGACGGAGACACGAAGGCTGACGGGCTTACCAGAAAAACGACGGAGTGAGTCGCTGTCCAGGTGGAAGCCAGCGGCAGAGGTGGTGGATTCCGGCGCAGTGTCACCGTTTGAAGGACAGAGACGGAGCAGAGCAGTCTGAGAAGGAAAATAACTTATCCGGATTTTGCAGAAGCAGGGAGTGGTTGATGGGTGAACACCGAGCCGGGTGTGGGTCTGGTCGCTGATGGAAGCTTCAGAGCCAGCGATTCGATCATAAGCCGCACAAAAGGACACGGATCCATTGTCCCCTATTCTTCTTCTTCGTAAGAAACTATTGATCACTCTGGTTTATGATAGGAATTGAGAGAGAAAGAGGGAGAGAGTGAGAAGTTGGGCAGCGGAGAGAGCAGTGAGAAGCGGAGATGGCAAGAACGGAGCATCGAAAACATCTAACTTTACGGACTAAAATGGGTGTCGGCTCGAGTGCTAAAAACGATTCGACGACTCATGCTTGTTTTTTGGGGGATTTTTATTTTCTAATTTTGTAGTTGCGTTTCCCCGGGAAAACGACAGATTGACAGAATACGATGATCTATGATGGGAGATTATACAAGCAAAAGAATTTGTATTTTAATAGAGAGATTAACCTCAGTTTTATTGATGGAATCGCCATAACCTGTTGACTGGTAAAAGTGGTAACGTGATTTTGATCTGTGAACTTGAAAACTTGTCTTAAATTACTATAAGTCACATGTAATTTGATGTTCTCTACGTCCATGTTTGTTTAATTAAAGACGAAACTAATGGGATCCAAAATTATTGTAGTTCTATTAAAAATTTTGGCATTTTCGTTTGGCTGAAATAAATTTTGGGTCTGCAATGCTTGAAATCTCCCTTATCGAATTTTGATTTATGCAGTATTTATAAAGAGAAATGAAATCAAATATCGCATTAGACAGTCTACCCAAAAAAAAATATCGCATTAGACAAATCTAACATTCTTTTGTATGTAAGAGATGTGTACATATATATTCCATTATTTGAATTTTAAAAAAATGTCAAAATAATCAAACTTTCGTAAGCAAACTTGTAATTTAACCTTTGAAGACAGAAAACAATTAAAAGATCTTAAAAGACAGCCTCATTCTTTCGCCCAAAAAAATATAATGTCCAATAATAAAATGTAATATGTTAATTAATTTTGTCTCTCAAATTTATAATTTTTTTTAAAATTATCCTATTAATTATGCAGATTAAAATTGGATTTCTATCAATATACTCTTCCGGCCCTAAATAAAAGTCTTATATTTAGGACCGAAGAAGTACAAGGTATTTTTTAATGCAAATTCTTTCAAAGAATGCATTAAGAAAAAAATAGGTATTTTTTAATAAGTAGTTAATTTAACTAATTATATATAAATTAATTATTTAGTTTATTATACATTTAGGACAGAAGAGAGTAACGTTTTTTGATAAACAAATGACCTTATTTTCCTAGACAATTACTCCTCCGGTCCTAATTATAAGACCCAATTGACTTATTTGAGGAGATTAAGGAAGTAAGTTAAGTTGGTTATTTATAATAAATAAGTGTTGTCATTCTAAAATATCCTTGCTAATTAAGTATATTGGCTAAAACTATCATTATTAGAAGGATTATCTTGGAAAAAAATGCATAAATATAAGAGACAAAATGGATTGGGGTCTTATAATTAGGACCAAATAAAAAGTCAAATGGGATCTTATAATAAGGACCGGAGGAGTATATAATATCCAAGGTTATCAACTTAATATCCAAGGTTATCAACTTATGTTCCGTCATTGTCAAACTAAATCAAAAGTAGCCATTCGTTTTTTCGTTTTGGCCAAGATATGTTCCATTCGTTTCATTCAATATATTTTAAATAATCTTATTTTTATCTTAGGTTAATCCGACATCTAATTCAGCCAGACTTTGTTTTGAAACATCTCTTCACAAAGCCTCTGCAATATTTATGTTTGTCTTTACACGACATGTAATGTGCGTGTGTAGAGGGAGAAGCCGCTTTATTAATAAATGATGAGGAGCTCTGCAAGCTATGGACTTGGCTTTACACGGATAAGAACTTGTTTAATTTTTATTTTAATTTTAAAAATAAAATTTTTATTTATTATAGTTATTTATTTTTTAGAATAATCTTCATAATAATAATAATTCTATCTAATATATTTAATTAATAAGGATATTTTGTAAAAGATAACATATATTTATTATAAATAACTAATTTAATTAGTTTTCTTAATCTATTAAAATTAGTCAACTACTGTAGCTCTTATACTACCTTTAGTCTTTAATAAAAAAGTTTGTTTGACTTTTATTTTTATTCTAAATATAAGACCCTAATCTACTTTGTCTCTCATATTTATCTATTTTTTTTAAGATAGTCCTTATACTAAGGGTAATTCTAACCAATACATTTGATTAGTAAGGATATTTTAGGAGAGACAATATTTATTTATTAAAAATAAATAATTTAATTAATTTTTTAATTTATTTAAATTAATCAACTAACTCTTATATTAAAAAACTGATATAGTACTAAGAATGGGGGAGTGCCTGTTTGTAAATTTAAGGTGTCAGCAGCCCGCCGAAGAATACCTTTAAGAGTGCTGCGAGACAACATGTTGCCGTAGTCACTGTCAGCAAATTATCTTCCAATTGACCAAGATTTTTAAACTTCAGTTTAAATGATTTCTCCAAAAATAATACTACTTCTGGTGCTCTTTATAAAATCTTATCTGTAAATTATAAACAAGTTCTTATTAGAATATAAAATAAAAACACCTTACAATTACAATCTAATAAATGTTTTAGTGTTTAACAAAAGCCGTTAATATTTACTGGCTAATAATTTTGAAATTTTGCTATATATAATTGTGGTAAGGGCCACTCAATTGACTTCATATGCTTGAATGAAGTTTACGTTTCTTGAAAATGTTGTGAATATCTAATATCATATTGATATTGTTAATGTGATCGTAATGCGATAAGAAAATACTCCTCCGGTCCTTAATATAAGACCCATTTAACAAATTTGATTAGATTAAGGAAGTTAGGTAAGTTGGTTAATTATAAGAAAAGTGACACATTTTTCCTAAAACACCATAATCATCTTTCTTAATACTCCCTCTCCCTCTTTTACTTAATTATGGTTGAGAGAGTATCTATAGGGGTAATTTAGAGAAAATTGATAAATATGATAAATGGGTCTTATATTTAGGACCAAAACCAACTCAAGAATTGGGTCCTATATTAAGGACCGGAGGAGTACTTAGTAACATATGTTATTAAAATAGGATTATGCTTCTATTAATGATACTACCTCCGATTCTAACTATAAGATCTTATTTATAGACGATAAATGACATCTTATAATTAGGATTGGATATAGTATTTTAAACGCAGCCATTGAATTTGGACTAGGCGACAAAAAAAAATGAAACAAAATATTGGGAATTTATGCAGGATAAGTTATTCAAATTTTAAGATATTGTGAAATACCTTACCAAATGAAATGATTAATGCGTTCAATTATTCGCCCTGCGCAGAAAATCGTCGTCTAAATTTCACAGGCTCAAATCAGTTATTGAGCAATTATTGATCTAGTAGCAGTACCATATCCAACACAATTTTTTTTTTAACTATACATTTCTTAATTTCGAGTCACATGAATACATGAACTGTATAAAAATAAAATATTATGTGGTATTATAAAGAGAGAGAAAAAAACTTATGATTTATCACATTTGTCTTGGACGCTCAGAAAACTTCTACTGAAAGTTGTGAATTGGGAACGGGGGGTTTTCATAAACAAATTCACTTTACTTCACAGTGAAAATTATATTTTTCACTTAACAAAAAAAAAAACTCATGTACTTAAAGGACTAAACTCCAACCTTATTTTTAAAAAAAAAAATAAGAAAATGGTTAATTCCAACATAAAATGAGGTGTAATGTAATTGTTGAGAAAGAGGGGCGAAACGAAATTCAGCCTTATTAAAATTAAATAAAAGGTTGTCATTTGAATTAATTTTTTTTAATTAAAAGTCAGTTTTATTTAAAATCCAATAAAGCAAGAACACTACCAATGAAGGTTGGGTCTAATGAAACTGGAAGGAGTAGTCCTCACAACATGTTAAATCAAAATTTAAATACCGTCTAAAAAAAAACCTATATTTAATATCCAATAGTGTGTTGACAGACTGCTTTTAATAAAACGATAGCCGTGCTTACCGAAAAAACATTAAAAAGACTGATAAGTCACGTTTAATTTAAGTTTAAAAGTTAAAAACATGAGATGAGTGAGTGAAATTCTTTGCACAATTTTCGGAGTTTCTTAGGAGGAAAACAATGTGTAATCATACACATCGATGAGATCATGGAGCACCTTACCCTTTTTCCTTTTTTTTTTTTTTGGGGAGGTGTGGGGGCAAGTACAGAACCATAAAGTGAGAACATTACCGCAAAAGAGCGCATTGTTTGGTGAAGACAAAGTTTTCAGCCTTCTTATGCTGATGCAACTATTGTTAATGTTTAAAGAGATGTTTGGATAGTTTAAGAAGTGCATATCAAAAATACTTTTTCGCAAATCAAGATAAATTTTTTTATACATTTATTTCGTATACCGTAAAATCACTTCTGAAACTATGATTTGGTTTGCATCCAAACACTCTTTAAATGTGTGTAAATTAATTACGACACTCAATTATGTTTTTTTTTTTTGGTGATGCACAAAGGCTCCCCAAGGTCCACTAGGTGGGGTCATGATTAGATGAAGCGAAATTAAATAGAAGCATGTTGCGAGGTTTATGTGGTATTATAAAGAGGAAAAAAAAACTTATGATTTATCACATTTGTTTAAGTAATTGGACGCTTAGAAAACTTCTACTAAAATTTGTGAATTTGGGGGGGGGTTCATAAACGAATTTACTTCACTTCACAGTGAAAATTATATTTTTCACTTGACAAAAAAAAAAACTCATGTGCTTAAAGGACTAAACTCCAACTTATTTTTTAAAAATAAGAAAATGCTTAATTCCAACATAAAATGAGTTGTAATATAATTGTCATTTGAATTAAAATTAAATAAAAGGTTGTCATTTGAATCAATTTTTTAATTAAAAGTCAATTTTGTTTAAAACCCAACAAACCAAGCACCTACCAATGAGGGTTGAGTTTAATAAAAGAGTAGTTTTCATAATATGATGAACTAAGGTTTGAATTCTATCTAAGAAAGATGTCCATATTTAATGCCTAATGAAAAAACATTAAAAAGACTGATAAGTCACATTTAATTTAAGTTTAAAAGTTAAAAACATGAGACGAGGGAGTGAAATTCTTTGCACAATTTTCGGAGTTTCTTGCGAGAAAAACAATGTGCAATCATACGCATCGATGAGATCATAGAGAACCTTACCCTTTTTCCTTTGTTTTTTTTTTGGGGGGGGGTGTGGGGGC